TTGAAGCAACAGCATAATGAACAGGGTACATATGCTGTTGAGGGGGGGAGTTGAAGTAGATAAAGCCACACAAAGCGTGGAGACAGTGAAGGTAGTGCTTACGGCCAAGTAAAAGGCCTGAACATCTTAGCACGGACCACATGTGTCACAACCTACTCAAGGCAAATGCTTTGTTATGCTCCGCAGTCAATGCGGCTCTCCGCCGCTCTTCTTTTGTATATATAGACTCCTAGCTCTCTTGCTCTCTTTCTCTCCTACTACCATCATCAACAAAGACACCTCAACCCCAACCACTGACGAATGACTCCAACACACTGACGAATGACTTCAACTGATTAAGAGTCTGACACTCAACACAATGCCGCCATCGACAAGAGCTGGACAGACGGGAAGGGGTGATGATGATCAAACGACCACAAGCAATGGACAGGAGGAAGGATGGCTCACGCAGGTAGTCAGGATCCTCCAGCTGGCGAACCCAGCACTATCGGCAGAGGAAGCAATAGTACGGGCCATGGGTCTGGTCAACATTAGCAACCAAGCTCCACGCGGGGAGACCGAAAAGATCCCCAAGGACGTATCGAGCTCCATTGCTCACATCAAGAAGCTCAGCGATAGCAATTGGCACACCTGGGAACCCACCTTTATCGACTGCCTCCAGAGAGTGCACAACGCGAAGGAAATCCTGTATGGTACCGTTGTACCCGGGAGCGAGGAATATGATGAAGACCTAGACAAGGCACTTGTGGGCCTCATCCACGCCTGCTGCGATAACAGCCCAGATAGCTGCATCGACACCTATACTGTCAGAGGGGTGGATGAAGAAGTTCAACTTGGTAGCACACTCTATGCCAAACTCAAGAAGGCACTAACACTAAACGACGCTGTAAAGCGAGCAGGACTGCAGGATCGTATCCACACAGTGCGCTTGCACAATCGAGACGTTGTCAGACTAGGCAAGGAACTTGATTCGATCTGGAACGATGCGGCACGCCTCGGAAGGCGTTTCGACGAGGACCTCAAGAAATCAACTCTCTATCGCTGCACGGCTCAAGATTGGTTCTATGCCAACACCATTGATGCACTGAAAACGGCCAGACCAGACTGCAAGTATGACGAAGCCTACCATGCACTGGCCAAGAAACAGCAGGATGGTGAGATCACTGGTCGTATTAGAGGAGCAGCAAGGGTCGCCACAAATGCGGAACAGGGGAGTGCCAACCAGGCGGAGCAAGGACCCAGGGGGAGGCGCGATCCTCGCAATCCCTTGGCCCCTCCAAAGTGCTACGCTTGCGGAGGACCAAATCACATTGCTCGAAATTGCACGAACGCACGAGGCACAAGCGAACCTGTCGCTCGTACGACACAAGAGGTGAACCACTAGGAACTCGGGTGCACCTTTCTAGCAGTCGACAGGGGCGAGCGATCAGCATGCGACACCTGGATCATCGATTCAGGTGCAACCCATCATATGGTAAATGATGAGAGAATGCTGCTCACCTCAACGAACAAGGTCGGCCAAATCAGTACAGCAGGGGATGAAAAGCTTCAGGTGAAGGCTATAGGAGATGCCTCCCTTCGGGTCGGTGAGGCCACCATCCAACTATTGGATGTGCTTTATGTACTGAAACTGAATGCTAACTTATTGTCCGTACAAGGCTTGATCGAGAATGGTGCACGAGTAATCTTTGATGAGTTTGGAACTACCATAAAGCAGAACGATGGTACCCAAGTACAATTCAAAAGGAACAGAAGACAGGGCCACTTCAAAGTGCGAGGACAAGCACTGGCTTTGGAACTGGAGGAAACACGAGATGGCGTCCCAGAGGACAACCAGAACACAGGAAAACTAGATAATGCCCCGGAGGGCAATAAGGACACGAAGCATCGAGACAGCTACCTATGGCATGAGAGGTTCGGACACCCAGGATGAGACAAAACAAGACAAATCCGGGCCCATTACCTAGGTACCGACGAGGAAATGGAACATGAGTCGAAGCACTGCAACGCGTGCAGTCAAGGAAAACAGACTCGAGCACGGATGAGCCAATCAGAGTCGGAAAGAATGGAGGCACCATTAGAGCTGGTACACGTAGACCTGATGACAGATTTCAAAGGACATGCCAACTACCACTACGCACTAGTTGCTGTGGACGACTTCTCCTCTCTGATCTATGTGGAACCACTCTGCACAAAGAGTGCCGCACTCACGGCGCTGAGAAGGTGGATAGCCAGGATGGAACGGGCAACAGACAGGAAACTCAAAACACTCCGCAGCGACAATGGAGGAGAATGGTGCAGCATAGCAGCCGAAGACTGGCAAACTCAAGAGGGTTTTAAGTGGCAAAAGAGCGTCCCGGGGATCAGCGTCCAAAATGGATGGGCGGAGAGAGCAATCAGATCGGTCCAAGAAAAGCTGCGCTCAATGCTGATTGGTCGAGCTTGCCCCAGAGAGTTGTGGCCATATGCAATCACAGCAGCAGCACACGTGATGAACCTTACCCCGTCAGCCACCAAAACCATTCCCCACGAGGCCTTTTATGGAACCACCGCACACAAGCTGGCCCAGCAACTGTGAGTCTTCGGATGCTTGGCATGGGTTCATGTTCAACAGAAGGACCAGCAAGGCAAGCACGGAGCTAGAGCAAAGCCAGCCATCATGATTGGGTATGATGACAAACATAAAGCATGGAAGTTTTGCAACCCGGACCAGCCTGCGTCAATTCAATGGAGCAACTCAGCAACATTCCATGAGGACAAAGGATGGAGTGATCGCCAACAAGAGGCAGTCAGGCCCATGGTGACCATGGAGGTCGAGGAGGAGGGTGTCACGCCAGCCATAGTAGAGGAGGAGACCAGATCAGAGGCCGCAGTGGAGGATCTCCTACCAGCCGTAGACAGCACAGTGGGTGCCGCCAACACAGCAATACTGAACCTGGACCCAATGCTTGGGGAAGCAATGAATGGTGAGGACGCCCAGCTCTGGAAGGAGGCAATACGAAAGGAGCTAGAAGGACTTGAGGCAATGGGGACTTGGGAGGTGGTGCACCAACCACCAGGAGTACCACTTGTGGACTCTAAGGTTGTGCTTCGGCTGAAGCTTGACGCTGATGGTGTACCTGTTAAGCACAAAGCGCGACTGGTTGCAAGGGGCTTCACACAGAGAGAGGGGATCGACTACCAAGAAACCTTCTCTCCAGTAGCACCCCTCGGAGTGATCAGAGCCATCTTAGCACTAGCAGTGCAGAACAACTGGGAGGTACATGCTCTGGACATCACTATGGCTTACTTGAACTCCACGTTAAAGGAAGCAATCTACATGAAGCCGCCAGAAGGATCAGGAGTAGCACCCGGCAAGGTGTACAAGGTAGTCAAGGGCCTATATGGCCTAAAGCAGTCTGGGCGAGAATGGAATCAGGAGTTCGACAGGTCTTTGCAATGCATGGGATTCTTCCAGGTAGAGTGCGCTCCCTGCATCTACACCAAGGGACAGGGTGAAGATATGGCCATTGTGGTCATCTACGTCGATGATACATTAGTCATAGCACCACGGCTGGAAACGGTCCTAAAGGTTAAGAAGCAGATTGGTCAGAGATGGAAGATGGAAGATAGTGGTGAGGTCTCTCACTTCTTGGGCATCAAAATCAGTCGAGACCGTGCGATGCGCACCATGACGATTGGTCAGTCAGGGTACATCGACCAAGTGCTGGCAAAGCACCTGGACAAACACACGAAGCCGACCATGGTTCCAATGCAGAGCATACCGGAGGGAACCCTTGTCGCAAGCGCAGCACAACAGAAGGAGTATCCAGTGATTGTTGGCAAGCTGCTCTGGGTTGCCAACAGCACCCGGCCCGACCTTAGTCTCACCATGGGTGTTCTCGCTAGGCACATGTGTGAACCATCGCAGGAGCATTATCAGGCAGCACAAAGGGTCTTACGCTACCTCGAAAGCACAAGGCAGGTTGGATTGGTTTATAGGGCAAGTGAGTCGCAAGAGCCACTGGTTGCACACAGCGATGCAAACTGGGCAAGCGATGCCACCATACAGAGAAGAAGCACATCGGGGTCAGTGGCATTAGTGTATGGGAACCCAGTAGCCTGGAAGTCAGCGACACAAAAATGCGTGTCATTGTCCGCTGTCGAGGCAGAGTTCATTGCAGCCACGGAAGCAACACGTGAGGTGCTCTTCCTCAAGCAGCTGCTACGCTCAATTGGCATTGCCACAGGCACACCGACAGTCTACTCGGACAACACTGGTTGCATACAGGTTAGTAAGGACCCAGCACAGCACTGGAAGCTTAAGCACATCGACACCAAGTATCACTTCGTCCGTAACAACGTACAAGAGGGAAGGGTGCAGATCAAGTATGTAGACACCACAAGAAACTTGGCAGATGTACTCACAAAGCCCATTGGGAGGCAGGCAATGCAGCAAGCAAGATCTGGGCTACACCTGCAAATACCGGCAGCAGTGTATGGAATGGGGTCCCCGAGCTATGCGACAGTGTTGAAGAACGGAGGTCACACCTTGAAGCAACAGCATAATGAACAGGGTACATATGCTGTTGAGGGGGGGAGTTGAAGTAGATAAAGCCACACAAAGCGTGGAGACAGTGAAGGTAGTGCTTACGGCCGAGTAAAAGGCCTGAACATCTTAGCACGGACCACATGTGTCACAACCTACTCAAGGCAAATGCTTTGTTATGCTCCGCAGTCAATGCGGCTCTCCGCCGCTCTTCTTTTGTATATATAGACTCCTAGCTCTCTCGCTCTCTTTCTCTCCTACTACCATCATCAACAAAGACACCTCAACCCCAACCACTGACGAATGACTCCAACACGCTGACGAATGACTTCAACACCGTGCTCTTGCTCGGCAGAAGGGTATCGAATTGCCCGTCTCAAGGCAACGTTGGAGCGATCCTTTATATAGTCTTTGACCTTGCTCCCCTTCCATTGTAGCCCGGCTCGGTCTCATCCCATTGTAAGCCATCATCATGTCTTTTGCCAAATTCGCCAAATCGCTTCCTCCCTCTCTCAGCCTTGCAGGTCGCACCGCCCTCGTCACCGGCTCCTCCTCCGGCATCGGTAGACAGGTGGCCCTCCATCTTGCCCGCACGGGCGCCAAAGTCCTCTGCACCGACCTCCAACCTGAACCTCTTGGCGCTCAGAAAGTCCCCTCCGAAGGCTCCCGTCACATCCCCACCCATGAGCTCATCAACAGACTTGGTGGCTCCGCCGACTTCCACCATCTCAACGTCACTTCTCAATCTGACTTTGAATCAGCCATCGACAAAGCGGTCTCCTTCTCGGACGAGTCACGTTTAGACTACCTAATCAATAACGCTGGTATCACTCACTTCTCCGGTGGCATCGCAAATGAAGACCTCCATCTACTCGAAAAGATGATGCAGATCAATATCAAAGGTGTTTGGCTTGGCACCAAACTTGCTGTTCAACAGATGCTTAAGCAGGACCCCATTCCTTTCCCTGCAGACCTGGAAGAAGATTTGGATAGCTTCGACCCTACTAGCCCCTCCGTACCCCTACGCGCTCCCTATTCCCAACAAGAAGGATCACCCATCCCCACCGTCGGCAGAAACAAGCAAGACAAAGGAGCCAGAGGTTCCAGAGGCTCGATTATCCAAATCGCATCAATTCACGGCTTAATCGGCGGTCCCTCAGAACCTGCATACTGCGCAACTAAAGGTGCAGTCGTCAACCTAACAAGGCAAGTAGCATGTGACTATGCTCCACACAGGATCAACGTCAATGCTATCTCACCTGGTTATCTCACCGGAACAGCAATGGTCGCTGATATCAACCCCGAGTTGGCTGATCAGAGAAGAACCTACTGGCCACACCAGGGTTCAGCCAGAGATGTGGCACATGGTGTCCTCTTCTTTACTAGAGATGCTCCTTGGTGTACTGGTAGCATTTTACCTATCGATGGTGGTACCACTGCTCGCTAAACCCCTCATTTCTACTCGCACTTACTCAATCACATCACATCAAGCCATGGTATGGACACAGCTTACAATTTGCAAAAGTCTGAACAAAGTGTGTGTGTGTGTGTATGTGTGTGTGTGTGTATATGTGTGTGAATAATACATCCGAAAGTTCCCATCCTTCATTTTACTTTCCACTTCCCCAATTCGCCAGACCAGCCAAGCCCACACCAACTGGCATATCTCCCGTCGCTCCTCCCTGTTGCTGTCCTCCTGGCTGCTGTGCTCCCGCACCATGTTGCCCCTGCGGCTGTTGCTGAGGAAAACCCAATCCCGTCCCAAAACCTCCTGCACCATTCATCAACCCCATCATCTGCTGCATCTGTCCCAACCCTGTTCCTCCAGCACCATAATTCATCATTCCACTTCCAAACTGTCCTCCTCCCATCCCCATACCTTGCATCGCCGCCAATGCTGCAGCTGTAGCCTGAGCATTGTTTGCAGCTGCGAACCCAGTGTTGTTGTTGTTCATCATCGGTAGACCGAACCCAGCACCTGCACCAGCAGCCCCGTTGAAGGCAAGTTGACCTTGCATTTGTGGGAATAGTCCTGCCATAGCTGCTTGTTGCAGTTGCTGTTGCGTGAGTTGGCCTGTTACGAGTTGTTGTTGTAATTGCTGCTGGAGTTGTTGTTGTTGTTGTTGTTGTTGTTGTTGTTGTTGTTGTTGTTGTTGTTGTTGTTGTTGTTGTTGTTGCTGCTGCTGCTGCTGCTGTTGCTGTTGCTGTTGCTGTTGCTGTTGCTGTTGTCGTGGTTGAGAAGGGATCGAACGATGCACAGGAGTAGGTGTGGACTGGACGGATGGAGTAGCACTGCCGAGAATCGGTGTTCCTTGAACCGCTGCCGCTGCAGCAGCCAGATCTGCACCGTTGGCAGCAGGAACAGCAGCTGCGTTAGCTGTTGCGCCCTTCTTATCGGCCGCTTTTGCAAGAGTCTTCTTCTTACCCGCACTAGCCGGTGCTGCAGGCGTAGCAGCCGCAGCAGCTGAGCCAGCCGGTTTCTTACCAGCCGTCTTCTTTGGCGACCCTTTCTTGTCTTTATCCGGACTACCTGGTGCATCAGCACCATTGGCTCTGCCATTCTTAGCAGGACTCTTCTCAGCACTTGCCGCCGCCGCTGCCTCTTCCTTCTGCTTCTTCTTACTCTTCCCCTTTGCGCCCTTTGTAACAGGCACCGCAGCGGCAGCTTCCTTCTCCTTCTCTTCTCGCTCTGCTTTCTCTTTTTCTTCTTTCTCCTTGCGTTCCTTCTCCTCGCGTTCCTTCTTAGTGAGCTTCTTCTTCGACTTCTTAGCAGCTGCAGCGGCCGCAGCGGCTTCCTCTTCGGCTTTCTTCTTTGCAGCTTCTGCGGCAGCGGCTGCTTCGGCTTCTTCTCTTTCGCGCTGAGCCTTCTTCTTCTTCTTGGATGCGGGCTTCTTGGTAGTAGAAGTGTTGGCTGCGTCTGTGGTGTCGTCTCTGTCGCTTGTCTTTGCTGAGTCTTTGTCCGATTTGCCGTTGGCAGGAGCAGCACCGTTCGCAACGGGAGCTCCGGCTCCTGGCATCCCACCTCCCAAAGCAGCATTTCTGCCCATCCTCCACCTCTCGATGAATCCCATTCGTCCGAAAGTCGGGACAAATGCAGTTGCCGCAGCAGCAGAGGAAGGTTCACCCTGAGCCCCTGCACCTGCAGCAGCGCCGACTGCAGACCCTGGTCGAGGACCGACATTGGCACTGGGCAATGCATTCTGGTGTCCGTGCTGCATAAGACGCATGATCTTCTCCCGACGCTGACGATTTGTTTCCTCTTTCTCCATCTCGATCGAATTTGCGCCTCTCTTTTTCGCCGACCGGTATGGCGAGTCTTGTGAGGGATAATATGCGGATGGAAGTGCTGTAGAGCTGAGCATGAGGTTGGCTATGCGTGTTGCTTGCGGATCTGGTGTCAGACAGAGAGGCGGGGCGGTAAGAGCGAGGATCTTTGCTTCCACTTGAAGCGCTTCTTGATCGCTCCAAATGCCTCCAGTCATGTCGTCGAGCATTTTGATGTCCGCCCAGAGTGTCTCTGATGTGGGGTGGAGGACGATACGATAGATCTCCACACCACCTAGCCCGCTCGTGCGCGGATCGGACGACCCTATGCCGCCCAGAAGCTTGCGTGCGCCATATCGACCACCTTCTTGTAAATAGAAGAGGCTAGATGCAAGACCGCTGTCCGAGTCTAGTCCGAGCCGGTTACTCGCATCTCGGCCATGACCGACTACAGCTGCACTCATGTTGTGCAGCTCGCCTGGTCCCAGTGGTGAGGCGGAGGCAGCAGCATGACTGCGGTGATCATGCACGTCAACGAGTAAGCAGCCTTCAAAGAATTGAACTCCGGATTCGGTGAGGACGTCTATTAGATCTGCGGGCACTTTCTGATCGCGGATGCAGCCGAGGAAGGCTTTGACTGGCGAGTCGAAGAGGAACATGCCATTTTGACGTTCGAAGCGGAAATGATTATTGTGCAAGTGCAATATAAGTGACGGCTTGTCTTTTCGATGTCGTCGAAGAATCTGGCGTGTTGTGCGTGAAGTGTTGTACACCGACGCTGTTGTCGCCATGGTGAGGAGAATCTATCTCGGGCGCCCAGGTTAGCACCGGTGTTGAGATCCAGTGAATAGACGAGGTATGTTTTCAGCAAAAAGTGCTGTAGATATTGTCTATAGCATCGGACCGTCTAGGCGCGGAGCCTCGTCGTTTGCGCTGTGTATCTGTTGTCGCTAAGAGTCTTGCATCGAGACGCCGGCGACCTAATGGCGACCTAATGGCGACCTAATGGCGACCTAATGTTGACAGACTTGGAGCCAAATTGAGATCGAGCCGAGTTGTACACGTTAGCCTCGACGCAATGGTGAACGTGAGATCGACGTGCGGAAAAGAGCGTGAGATTTCTTCGAGCTTCCGGCGAGGGGTTTGAGTGTTGGTCGAAGCCGGTATGATGATGATGATGATGATGATGATGATGATGATGATGATGATGATGATGATGATGATGATGATGATGGTTGAGGATGATTGGCAAGCTGCAGAAACGCTTTCGCTCCAAAACTGTTGACATTCGGACGCGTTTTCCGAGAGCCGAGAAATCAAATGTGATTATATAATCCACTGTCATCCCCATTGCCGGCAAAGCTTTCCTCCACACCTGCGGCTCACCTTTCACTTTATGCATCTGTCCTTACACCATCATACAAGCACCAAGCCGAGGCTGGACACAGAGCAACATGTCGGCGGTAGCATGCTCTTCCAGCCGTTCGATATACAGCGCTGCCACGCGCCCAATAGCTTCCAGCTCTTCAGCAAGACTCACCTCGACCTCATCCTCTTCGGTCCGAGCTCGCACAATATCAGACACCACCCAATCTAAGGAGGACCTCCAACTAAGCCTCGCACTGATCAAACCCTCCGTCTGCTCCTACCAACCAGACGTATCTGCCATCCTCAAAGAGATCAAACAATCTGGACTCAATGTCGCCCGTAGCAAACGACTCTTCTGGACATCCTCTGAAGCTCATGCATTCTACGCCGAACATCGCGGCCGCTTTTACTACGACCGTCTCATTATCGGTATGATTTCCGGTCCATCCCTTGCACTCGCCCTCTACGGTCCTAATGCGATAAAGGAATGGCGAGCCATGCTTGGACCCACCAAAGCATACCGCGCTAAATGGGAAGACCCGCAATGCCTTCGTTCAAGATATGGACTGGGCGATACAAGGAATGGTTTTCATGGATCAGATTCGCCAGAGTCAGCGGCGAGAGAGTTGGGACTGGTGTTCGATGGATGGGATACGAATTGGTGGCTGGCAAGAGAACAGGCCAAGTTGTCGACGGATGCGGATGGCAAGTTGAATCCGCTCGGGTTTTGAGCTCAGCAGTTTCGTCGCTCATTGTATGATATGAGAGAGATCTGGCACAGTTTTCGGCGAGAGAGCAATTTAAACACCAGCCAATACAGTCATAGATCCCATGTTACAGATTGCGAGCAAAGACCACTAAGAGTACAACCACATCAATGAATGACTGCCATGAGAAGCCCGACACTACGCCGAACGATACGCCCTGGGATCTTTCATGATCCTCAACGAAGAAAGCCTGCCGACTCGCAACTCATCCTCTTCATACCCTTCTTGGCCGTCCACGGACTCATGTTGATCCTCCTCCCCACCTAGATCATCATCTTCACTACTTGTACGCATGACCCTGCCCGCAGCCAACTTCCCAAACAACCCTCCGGCAAGATCGCCTTTGGTCGGCGCAGTGCTGTTGCGGCCTTTCTTGGCGCGTAATGCCTCGATCTTGTCCTCTGTCCCTGTACTAATGGCCAATCCTTCTTCGTTGGCAAGATGCAAAAGACAAATGAAGCAAAAGGACGTTGAGATCTCCTCCATCTTGTCTTGTGTATACGCCTTCTGCAGACCCGAAAGGACGGACTGGAAGGTCTTGACGGTACCTGCTGCCTCTGTCGCGTTCGATGCCATCGACTCATCGCTGTCGGCTTCAGCCACAGCAGCAGCTACCTTGGCTGCCATCTCTGCCGGATCCTCAGAAGTGGTACCAAAGATGCCGAGCTCTTTCCAGATGTTCTCTTTGAGCTTCTTGACATCGACACGCTTGGCTTTTTTGGCATAGTTGACGTATTCGGGCTTGACGCGGTTGAGTGCTTGCAATGTCTGGGTGAGTTCCTCATCCTCTGCATCGCCGCCGACGGTCGCGTTAGCAGGTGAGTCATCCAGACCACCAAGATCACCGCCATTGGCATCGTAGCCGTCATCAGCATCGTGGAAGAATTGCGTGTCGAAGGGCATACCTCCATCAGAACCTCCCATCTCATCAGCATCGGCATCAGCATCGCCCCAAAGCGGTGCGTCTGCACCGAAGCCACCAGCGCCTCCTTGCTGTCCCTTGCGTCGCATGTTGATGGCCACACGAGGCTTAAGGAAGAGTCGCAGGAGCTGTTTCGAGTTGAAATGGCGATCTTCTGGCAGTAGGTAAGCATCGGCTGTGGAGGATGCAGCAAGACTGGACATCTTGTTGCGAGCGTTGAAGGGCAAGGTGATGGAAGCGGCCTGCTTGGGTTGCTCGAATAGCTCCTTGACGTCGACGGCGCCTTGTTCCGATTCAAAGTCGATGACGAAAGGCTCTTTGCCCTTCTTGCCCTCCTTGCGGTTGCTTGCTGCTGCCTGAGCGGCGGCGGTGCCGGCAGCTGCACCAAGACCTAATGGTCCGGTCGCGGCAACTCGGGATAGCTTCCAGTGCTCGGGACCGGCCCAGTTGCGCATGAGACGACGGTCAAAGTAGTCAAACAGGTCGCTGCCGTTCTCGCCGTCTGCGCCGTCGACAGCACCAGACTCTGGATTGAAGGCCATGGCCATGACCAGCTCAGACGAAGGCCCAGCGGAAGGGTCGAAGGGACCATAGCCTTGAACGTTGCCAGTGGTACCGTCAAGGACGACGGGACCTGCATGGTGCAAGGCAGGTGCACTGTCAAGCGCATCGAAGAAGTCGTTGCCGTCATCGTCGTCATTGTCCATTGCGCCACGCATGTCGGCGCCGAAGAAGTCGACATCAGCTGCAGCGCCGTCCATGAGAGGGTTGACGTCGTCCTGGAAGTCGGCGCCAAGATACTCTTCGGATTGAGCCGGCATGCCGCTAGAGGTTGGTCGATCGTAGTAAGTGTCGGCTTGGGTTGCGCTGTAAAAAGTCTGCTGGTTAAACTCGTCGAGACCAACACCAAAAGGCGTGTCGTCGTCCTTAGAGAAACGGAAGTTGCAGAGAGTCGGGCAGAGAACGCGACGCGCAAGGAGCGAGTTGACGTCTTCCGGGGTACCGTCGCCGTTGCTCATCTCTTCGGAGCGCATCCACTTGGTGGCAAGCTTGGAAAGGTCGACGAGCTCGGTTTGATCTTGCTCGGCTGCTGCAGGAGAAGGGGTGTCGAGAGGTTGATTGCCCTCGCCATCCTCACCGACGTCGAGCATCTTGCCGATATCCTCCTCGCTGCCAACACCAGCTACATCACTGGCGTCAAAGATGACGGCCATAGACGGATCAACACCGAGATGGTTCATCAACAGACCACTGGCACCACCCTCGTCAAAGTCGGCGGATGTCTTCTTGAAGAGTGGGTCGACAGTGAACTCGAGGTCATACTTTTTGATCTGAATGTGGCCGAAGGTCTTAGCTAAGGTGGCTTCCTTGTTCCTCTTTCGCTTTCGTGTTGAGGTGCCGGTGGCGTCCTCGTCATCATCGTCATCAGCTTCATGGTCGCCGTGTTCATTGCCACGTCTGTCCTTGCGAGAGGCCTGGTCAATGTCGTCTTGCAAGCCTGAGAGAAGCTTGCCGGTCTCGACGACGACTGAATCGACACGGGATGTCCAAACCTTGACACATCCATCAAGCGTGCATGATGCTTTCTGGAAGTTGATACTGCCATCACCGCTGTCGTTTCGAAGGAGGGACATATCGTGGAAGTAGTCGATGAGTGCAAAGGACCAGGTGTTGGTGGAATTGATCTTATTGTCGGTGGCCATCTTCATCCATTCTTCGAAGCTGGAAGTGTCTACGCGCAAAGAAGCTGGAGCAGGAGCTGTACTGTTCGGGTCGCTCGCTGAGCCTGCGCTGGAAGCAGGATTGGCAGACTGACCGCGAGGAGGCATGATGGAAGAGGCATCAGAGACAGCGTGCGATCTGGCTAAGGCTGCAACACGCAAGTTTTGGAAGGCAAGAGAAGTGTTGCCTCCTGCCATGAGCATGGAAGCATTAGGATTGGATCGTGCCAAGATGGAGCGGTTGGCGTTGTTAGATGCAGAGGGTTGACGGCTGGCTGGTTGCGAAGGAGGTCGAGACATTGATTTGGACTGAGCGCCAGAAGGTTTACGCGAGTTGCTTTGGCGATGATTGTTCTCTTGCTCTTCATCGTAGCTATCGCTGCCCTCTTCTTCATTATGCTCGTCTTCCTCGGCAATGTCATCATCCTCATCGAAGCGGCCGCGGTGCTTGGCGGATGCTGAGCGCGATCTGGAAGAAGATGAGCTGGAAGAAGAGACTTTCTTAGAGGAAGACGAGGAAGATTTGCCGGCAAGCGAGGCCTTAGTGCTGGAGAAGGAGGCCGAGATGGAGCGGTTGGCAGCACGCGAGTCCTCGAGCGGTGCTCGTGAGGAAGAGGAGGAAGATGTTCGAGATGGCATGTCTGCTAGGATCTAGTGCCTGAGCAGAGTCGATCGTTGTATGATTGCAAGAGTATGATTGCAAGAGTATGTTTGCAAGAGTATGTTTGCAAGAGTATAATTGCAAGAATCCTTTGACTTGCTCGAAGAGGAGAGCACACTCGCGGTCGGCTGAGCGCCAGAAGAAGAGCAAGAGGCGCCGTGCAGTGATGTTTGTGGCAGCGGAAGATGTGAAGGTGAGGATGATGGAGATGGTGAAGAAGAGCAACGCTCTCGATGTCGACGACGACAATGGAAAAGCCAGTCAATCAACCAAAAGTGTTGGTCTCTACGGGGTTTTTTTGGTGGTTTTTTTTGGTTTTTTTTTGTTTTTTTTTTGGTTTTTTTTGGTTTTTTTTGGTTTTTTTTTGGTTTTTTTTGGTTTTTTTTGGCTGAGTCGACTTTCTTGATTGACAGACTGACAGGCAGCGAGCGAGTGAGCGAGAAAGGCTCGAGTTGGCAGCAGAGTCGATCAAGAACGCGTGTCTGTTTGTATTCAGGCCAAATTGCGCATCTGGCGACGAGAGAGTGTTGCGTTCAGTCTCATTTTGTTTATTTCGCGTCGTGTGGTCATCACGTGATTTGTTTGGCCAGATTGGTTAGATCTAACAAATTGATCCGATCCAACCAATTGATCCGATCTAACAAATTGGTCAGATCTAACATATTAGACTTGGAGCTCTCCAATGTGTTGGTCACTCCGGTCAGCTCTCTGGACTGAAGCGACCATCACCTGACCAAGACAGTCTGCACAGATCTCAGGACAGCGGTGATGAAGGGATCTATGCTGATGTGAAGCAAACTAAAAGTACAAGACAAATAATGCCAAAGAGAGGGTGTGCTCCTGAAGTGATCTGTGTGGCTGCTGGCACTGAATGCGATGGAGGATTACCAACATCTCTACTTGTTGTTGATTTACTTGTTGTTGATCTACTTCTTGTTGAGATTCTTCTTGTTAAGATTCTTCTTGTTGTCATGCGCATCACCATCAGCGGCCTTGTTCATGATGGTCAAAGGACCACCTTTGGATGCACGGCTGACCATCTCCTGCTCGATCCTTGCCGTAATGGCTCCGGTCTGCTGTCGCTTTGTCTTGGCTGCCTGAACTGCAGCTTTCTTCTTCGGCGCAATGACACGAGCTGGATTGAAAAGCAAAGAGAAGGCTCTATGTCAGCATTCTAGCTCCCATCCAATCTCGGACGAGGAGAAGATTTGTCAGAAACAAGAGAATCTTACGACCACGCTTAGGGCCAGTCTTAGTCTGGCTGCTCGACTTCTTTGGCGAAGCAGCCTTCTTGGGCTTGGCTGGCTTGAATCCTTGCGCCATCCTGATTGCTCCTCGGGGTTCGTGTTCGAGTGTCGCTCCAAGAGATGGTGGCAAGAGCACAAGCAGACAAGTCGACAAAAAGCAGACAGAAAGGCGAAATTTTCACGGATCCATAAAACGAAATTCCATCAAAAATAGAGGCTGCAAAAAGACAAGAGAAATTCCTGAAATGCTCACAAGCTTCTCAAAGGCTCTACAAAGAACATGGCTCGGTGCCTCTTGCCACCACCATCTCGTTGCTCAGCTATCCATTCAAACATCAGGCCCCAAGAGCATTCTCCAACGCACCTCTCCAACGCACCTCTCCAACGCACCTCGTCCAAGGAAAGAGCCCTTCTCCGCCTCACAGTGCCTTGGACAATTCGAGTCCAGCTCTTCGTCCCCTTACCGCGAGCACATACCTCAAGATGGGCAAAGACAAGGACAAGCTAAAAGTCGAGGATGAGGAGCAAACGTCGGATGCAGATCCACCATACTTCTATTGCCGTCGCAACCCTACCATCCCTCGTCAGGACCAACCAAGACCGTACGCCTTCCTGCAACGCATTCTTAGTGAACATCCTATCCGAACCGACCATGTTGACGAGTACGGCGGTATTGACGACCTCGGCACTTCCCTCAGTGCTCCTCTCAACAATGTCAATATCAGTGATCAGTCCGTCTCAATAGCTGTACAAGCAGGCTCCGGTGCCATTGCTGCTGTTCAGAATGGCCTCAACTTGCGAGAAGCAGCCAACACATTAGCAGAGACATCCCTATCACCCGAGACTCACACTCTCAACGGAGAGGCTACAGCAGAATCAGCGACAACAAATGCCAATCATGCCTCTACCGAGAAGGCAGGCGTGGAAGAAGAGCTGCCATGGTTTTCCCAACTATCGGCGTATCCACAACTACGATCTGCTGGTATCCCTCTCGTGCCAGATGATGCCTCCTCAAGTAAAGTCGGCTCCAAGAAGCGTCAAAGTACCGCAGTTCCCTCTTCAGCCGCCATAAATGGTCTTCATGGCAACTCAAGACCAAGTTCTTCTTCTTCTTCTTCTTCTTCTTCATCGGCAGCACTACTCAATACAACTTCCGCTCCGCTGTCTCGCGTCACATCGTCAACGACCGCCTCAGTAGCGACGATGGAGGCATTGCATCGAAGCGGTTCACCAGCCTCGCTCTCAGAAGCTGTAGCTCGAACGCAAAAGACGAACGCTAGCCTAGCCATTCCATTGACCTCGACACTCTCATCGACAGGCTCGATAGCATCCAACATAAGTTCAGCCACACTACCACCAGATTCCAGAGTCGCAGCTGGATCTCTCAACACAATACCCATGCCAGCCGGCTCCACAGCCAGCATAGCGACAGCACCTCGCATCAGCCCTTCATCTTTATCTAGCTTACCGCTTGCTGGAGCATCATCCGCCAATGCTTCAACAGCTCCTGACTTCCAAGAAGATCTCCTGCCACCAGACAACTTTGCCATGGTTAATTCTCACGTCTATCGATCCTCCTTCCCTAAAAAGAAACATTTCCCCTTTCTTCGCACTCTCGCTCTTCGCTCCGTTCTTACTCTGATCCTGGAAGAATATCCAGAGACTAACTCTCAGTTCCTTGACCAAAACGGGATCACCTTTTTCCAATTCGGTATTCCCGGTAACAAGGAACCTTTTGTCTCCATTCCAACCGACAAGATCACCGCCGCACTCACAACCATCCTCGATCGTCGCAATCATCCCATCCTCATCCACTGCAACAAAGGCAAACATCGCACAGGCTGTCTGATTGGATGTTTGAGAAAACTGCAACAGTGGAGTCTGACAACAATCTTCGACGAATATAGAAGGTTTAGTTGGCCAAAGAGTCGAAGCATGGATCAAGAGTTTATTGAATTGTACGATGAAAGATCTGTTTGGAGAGATATTCATCTTCCCTGGTTACCAAAATGGTCAGTGTTGCCCTTGGCGAGTTTGAATTTGCATAATAGTAAAGGCAGGAAGGTGATTGACATTGAGGATCAGTTGGATGGCGGTGGTAATCAACCAGAAGGAGAGGCGGATCGAGATGAGCCGTATCAAGACTCTTTGTCGATTTGGAGAGGCATGTAACCTTGCTTCACGCTCAATTTGTCACAAGCAATATACCCACACACTCACACCATATCACAATTGAAGATCAAGCGCTATCTCAGTGCTGAGTGGTGTGATCTATTCACTCTTCTGCCGCTTCCTTCGGTCCCGATCTTCTGCTGGTTTAGCTGCTGCCGTGGGATCTTTCGTCTTCTTTCCCTTGTCTCCCTTCGATGGTGGAGGAGGTGGACGTTGATCAAAAGGCACAATCCCACCTTTTTCCCATTCACCTTTCAACCAAGCCTTACACTCTTCCTCTTTGTCCACCCCTCCCTGTGCGGCTGGCTGATCATACTGCCAAGCTAGCACAAAAGTCTGAATCTGTGAGATCAACCTCGGATGACAGTTCAGCGTTGCCGTAACAGCATTGCCATCCAATACTGGCTTTTCATCTGCCCTTTCGATCAAGCCCCATTGCTTGATCAGTTGCCAGAACTGACCGTACTCCCTTGCCAACACAACAACTCGATCCTGAACGGCGTCGAGCGTGCTTGAGTCGTGCTTGAACCCGGCCTCACCTCCTTGCTGCTGCCAAATGACAAGAACTTCCGAGATGAATGAGAGAAGCAAAGCTGGCTCCGGTCGAAGCTGTAACAATCCGTTCGAGACGTGCGGGTTCCTTAGTAAAAGTCCTAGGCGTGACTTGACACTGAGTCTTGGTGCAAGATGCAGGATGTCGTCCAGCGCTTCTGACTCTGCTCCCTGCTGTGTTTGTTCGGAGCACAGTACCTTTCGTCCGAGCGGTAGAAGCTCTAAACATCGATGCAAGGAGGCAACAGGCTCTTTGAGTGTCTTTGTGCCCAACTTGAGTCCGTTGGCAATCACGCTTTCGCCAGCCCAAGCAAACTTGTTCTTCTTCTCCTCATAGATCAAGTGCCGTAAGGGGAGTAGTGCGACTGAGATCCATAGCCTTCTACGTTCTTCGGATGTCAACGAGGCGCTGGACCAGCCCGAGAGAAGATCGACAGGTAGTGCCTCAAATACAGCCTTAGGTAGCGGAGATGCTGGAATGGCAGAGAATGCATGAGAGAGTTCTGAATTGGAGGCTTCGCTGCGGCCATCTGCGATGCGGAGGCTGTCCATCGCGACCGGCTGGTGGGATGAAGAAGCGTCTTCCTGTGCTTTACCGCTCAGAATGGCGTCCAACAAACGAGCTGCGTTGAGAGCGACAGAGTCCGATGCAGGTTCTCCTAGCTCCTTTAGTGAATTTGAATCGGATGCAGTGTAAAGCTTGCCCGTAGCTGGTGCTGGGTGGAAGACGAGAGGGAAGAGCTCTAGACGATGCAGCTCGAAGAGGGCAAGCAAAGGATGTGGGCCTTTGATCATCTTATCAACCTCGATGCCGATTCTTTCTCTCGACACTTTATTGATCAATGCTTCTCGAATCAGGTCTCTGCCATGCTCCACACCTTGACCTGCTTGCGAGACTCTTGGATCATCGCTGCTGGCAAGTTGCGTAAGGCTTGACTCTCCCTCCTGCTGCGCACCAGCACCGGTGAGACAACGGATGATGGTTGGATGCAGCTCGTATGCGAATCGACTTGAAAAGCGGACACACCGCAGTACTCTGAGCGGATCATCCAGGAACGTCGTCAGCGGCGGTAATGGAGTTCGTATCAATCCGCTCGCCAAGTCCTGCAGGCCCAAGCCGGTATGATCCTCCACCTGCCTTGTATGCACGTTGTAGAGCAACGAGTTGATTGTGATATCGCGACGTTCCGCATCTTCCTTCGGTGTTCCGAAAGTCATCGTTGGAATCCTCGACCCGAGATCATATGTCTCTTTCCTGAGGTTGACAAAGTCAAGCGAGAGCCCTAGGAGACGGGCAGTAGCCGTTTCGAGGTTCTTACTCTGCTCTGGGTTGGCGGCGATCTTGCCGATGCGGCCCATTTCAGAGCCTTCATCTTGAAAGAAAGGCGACTGTGCCAGCGGTGATGCTGCGAAAGAGGGTGTTGATAGGTAGTGCTTGAGATGCAGAGCAAAAGCATTGCCTGTCAGTGTGGAGAGTGTGATGTCGAGGTCGTCCGAGTCGCGGGAGAGGAGCTTATCCCGCACCCAGCCGCCGGCGATGCGTGCTTCGCATGGAGTCAAAGAATTGCCACTTGGTGGTGTAGAGTCGACACCTTCAATCTCGGGCCGCTCGCGGTGGATGTATGAGCAAGTCTGGTCGAGAAGTTGACAGATGGCTTCCTCTTGCTCGGTCAACTGGATTTGAGCATCTTTCCTCATGGTGAGCTTCGTTCTGAGCTGCAGGGTAAGAGTCAATGACAGAGATCGGGCTGCCGTTCTCGATGCTAGTGGAGGACTTGAAAGTGCGGAGGTGGTCGTAGCCGAAAGCAGTCGATGTCGAGTCAGAGTGCGAATGTAAGTCAAAGACATGCCATGCAGGCCCAGCCGCTGGCCATCGAGGACTGGCTTTTTGTCGAGAGGTCAATGGCGAGCGCTCTTAGCTGTGTAGCAATAGATCGGTGTCTGTGCTACAAGGCTCGTTGCCTACCTCTTGAAGTTGTCGGGTATACAGATGATGGTAAAGGTAAAGTAGGACAAGTGACAGGTGACGAAAAGAGCTTTGGCCTCCAACGTCAGAAAGCAAATCCACTCGTGCGGTAGAAAGGAGCAAACCGAGTCACGTGGAGCGCACGTTCCATCTATAACTGTATCTGCAAGTGCAACTTCCACCACCATCGTCTTGCAGCAACTTTACTCGTTCCCATTTGCCACCTTCAGACCTCACACAGATTACATACGCGAGGTAGCTAGAGGTACAACTCAGCCGCCTAGCAGTATCCAAGATGCCGCCCAAAGCAGCTGTTGAAGACTTCGACGATGACTTCGAGGTACGTTTGCACTCACTCATACCACAAACTGCTCGGTTGTAACAAGCGGCAAAACTCTGACCGTCGGTGTTCCTTACTTTCTTCTGTGATGCAGTTCGACCTCCCAAGTGTCACATCTCCCGGCGTAGCGCAGTGGCAAGCGCAAGCTGGTGCACCTCAGGCCGACCAAATGGCTGCGTTCCAGAAGATGATGCAGCAGATGGGTCAAGCTCCTGCTTCCGGCGACTTTGGCGCCACTCGACCTCCTGCAGGTCTCGACGTAGCCAGCGCCAGTGGCTCCAAGGGCAAAGAAGATGGCGAGCACAAGAAGTGGGTTAGCATCTACCCGATCTACTTGGACGCCAAGCGCCACTATCGCAAAGGTTGCCGACGAGTTGCCTACGACAAGGCCAGTCCCTTCCCCACTCAACTCTGGATCGCAAAAGCCGTCGGTCGTCTTCAGCTTAGATATGCTCAGGAACCCTACAAGACTCACCCGCAGGACTGGGAGAACCCGGGTCGTGTCAAAGTGCACCTCTTCAACGAAGACGGTAGTCCCGTCGACAGCCGATTTCCAAGTAAGAAGCATCTTTTCGATGCGATTGCAGAGACCATTCAGCCCAACTGCGGAGGCAAGCCACCTGCGATCGAGCCACGGAAGAAACGCGTTCGACCTTGGACCATCAAGAAGCAAGCTCTTGCTGAAAATGCTCAAGCCGCTGCATCTGGCTCCACCACGGCCGCTGACGCCAACGCAAGTTCATCCAAGCCGAACAAGAAGAAGGCTGCCACTGCTTCCGGCAATAGCACTGCTGGCGCCTGGAAGCCTACTCTGACCCAAGAGCAGCGCAAACAGATACTCGCAGCTAAACGCGACCCTAACCCCAACCCAATCCGAGAAAGACTCGCAAAGATCCGCTATCCTCCCACACTTGAGGCACGTCTTCCACCACACTCGCCAGCGATCGAAGGTGGATTACTCAACATGAATTTGGCTGAAGCTATGGGCGGTATGCCACCTGGTATGCCTGGTGCCGATGCACTTGGTGGTCTCGGAGGCATGTTGGGAGGCATGGGACTAGGCGGAGATGATGACGAGCAAGAGGAGCAAGAGGCACAAGATGAGACAGCGGGTAAGAAGAAGGATCCAATGAACCCTCTCAACCTCGGACGTAGACAAAGGAAGAAGGTGGTTCGTATTGGTCGTTGAAAGGGTCCATTCGACCGATGCGACCCGGCGCTCGCAAAGTAATGCAGACACATGCAATCAAATCATCCAGCTATGCAGATGCTCACCATCTTCGACCCATCCTGCGTGGCTCGGATTGAAGTGAGAGCTGGAAGATCGGTGATAGCCGCACCGCGTGACTTGACGCAAAGTCTGTTTCTATCCTTGCGATTCAGACAACTGCTCGCAGCAAGAGACGCTCACCAGCAGCAAATAAACCTGTGGCCGTCAGCTTATCCTTCTCCGGCACCAACTTGGACCCTGCCTCGATCGGAGTCTTTGAAGTAAGAAGTCTGACTGAGACGTGACATGTTCGTGACAACTAACTTGATCGTACCCACAAGGCCTGCTTCACGGTAGAGGCAATATAGCATAAAGCTACTCCATACATCATCTGCGGCCATAGAACCTTGAAAGCACCGCATCCCGTCCGATCTGCGAAGTTAAGCAAGGTATCGCCTAGTCAGTACTGCGGTGGGGGACCACGCGGGAATCCTAGGTGCTGCAGTTTTCTTTTTTCTTTTTTCTTTTTTCTTTTTTTCTTGTCCCACTTGTTTTTGGTCTCTTGCTCTTTTCGTCATGATGGTCCAATGTGTATTGGTATAACAGGTTGAGTTGCCGACGGAACCAGCATGAAGAGCTTTTTCATGGCAAGAGGAGTCGAGACAGTTCAAAAGCCGGAAAACGGCGAAAAGAAGAAGATGCAAGAGTGCCGGGTGACGTCGACACGAGTGTTCGATGCAACGGAAATGAGAACACCGACACAGTCAGGTCTGCCAGGACCAAGAGATCGAACCAAGGCAGTGTCTCTGCTTCTGTGCTGCATATTGCTGACAGATGAGACAAGATTGTACCACAAGTCTCTTGCCTGTGACCTCGTGAGGAGTGGTTCATGCTGACTGCAAGTGGGACGTGAATTCATGATGCATCGACTCGAATGGATAGCTTTGTTGGGCAAGGGCAAGCGAGTCAGGTGAGCACTTGTTTGTAGTCCAAGCGCTGGCGCGACCAACGATCAAGCGTTTGGGATCGAGCCTCGGATGTGTTCTTTGCTGGAGGTGAAAGTTTGGGTTGAAGGATGCATTCCTGTCCTGTGCTTACTATCTGTTCTGTGTCTTGGCTCTCTTCCCATTCCGGAGTAAACAGCCAAGCGAGGCGGGCATGGATCTCGAGCCTGCGTTGGGGAGAGGGACGCTTACTCTATCCTGGTCTCCTCTCTATACAATGGGCATGGATAGGTACAAGTCGGTGCTGAATTGGATAGCATACTTGTTCTGATCCCGGTTGATGCATCCTTTGGCGACCGAGAGACAGGCGAGCTCTAGGAACCCACAGGAAGGCACATTGCTCATGCAGCACACCTGTGCCAAGCCTTGAGCCAAGAACATACAAGTTCCGCCCGATCCCTGGCTTGGACAATGATCCTTCACTTGGACCTCTGCCCATCGTCTTTGTAGCAGTTGACAGCTGATTACAGCAGTCGACGTAAGGAGCGTAGCAAGGCTTGTGTGCTGTTCGAGAATGCACATCACTATCGCCAAACGGTGGCATGGTTTTCTTTGCCCTGTCTGCTGCTTCTGCAAAGAAAGAGCAAGTCTGGAGAGGTGATCTGTAGATATCGAACAAGACGAGATCGAGAGGCATTCCAGACTCTTTCGCTTCATCAGCCAGCAGCAAACTGCACTCTAGCAGGGCAATCCATTTGAATACAAATGGGTCCATCCTGGTTCCATACTCGACGGCTGTTGCTTTTCACCCTCGAAAGGCGGACGTGGAAAAGGTGGTCTCCTGTTGCTTGCGTGCATTGGTGGTCATGTCGGCGCATTGCGCGGCCAAGTTGCAGGGAAGAAGCAAGGCAATGCCATCTCCATCGATAGCAGCGCTACCCTGATCCTGCGTTACGGGACACCGAGAGCCAAGCGAGTGGGTCCACTTGGATGTGGGTCGAAGCAACCGGTCGAAAAATGCGGCGTGAGAGCGGCTCACGGTGGGACCGCTGATGGTGATGATGAGAAAGCCTTGTGTCTCATGATTCGGAACGAGATCGAGTCTAAGCAGATGAAATTATGCCGAGCCTCGACAAGGAGGAGGAGGAGTAGACAAAAGCCTTTGAGACGAGCTCAGCTGCCCTTTTGTGAGAGGTGATGTGGGCAGAGAGAGGCCCATCATCGAGCTTGGTCAGTGTCAGCAAATATGGATTCTATTGGCTGTTTGTGCGAAAAAAGGCGTAAAAAAGGCGTAAAAAAGGCGTGCAAAAATACATCGTTTCGTTCGGAAATCGGAAATTGTGACTGCTGTTAGTCATCCTTTGTCAGCGTCCCTTTGTCAGTTGGCATTGTGTTGCTTCTCCACCTGTCTGCACAAAGCCAAGCAGTAAGACTTTTCCACCGAGCTTGGCCCTTTCTCCATCGCCATTCCCTTTGTCCGTTGGCTCGTTTACCATTCTCCACCACCTTCCGATGCGACTACATAACTAGTACGGCTGTCACTGATCATATCGGCTGGCCTTCACCCACCGTGCTGGCGCTACTCACCAATCGGAAGAGCCAACCAGTATCGACTTGGCTTTAGCATCTTCTCCTAGGCCTCCTCCCACTCCAGCCACATAGATCCATGGCCTTTGACTCCAGCACCTTAAAAGAGACTCGACATCACTGGAAGACGAAATGAGCCAGTGGGTGGCAATATCAGTCCACGCCGGCCCCTCGCGCTACGACCCCAATGTCCGCCGAAGCAAGACCATTAGCGGCTCGCCTTCCTCCCATCTTCACACAGAGACTGCCACAGCTTCCATTTCTCCTCGACTCAATCAGCTCGCTCTGCCTACACAACTCAATCGCACCACCAGATGTAGCTCCAACCCACTCCACGACCTTTGCGACCCGGCCACCAGTCCCTCGAAGCGTGGTGAGACGCTGCGTGCTTACTCTCGCCAACGACGTGTCTTCTCCGATGCACCTATTAGCCCCAACCAAGCCAGCCGAACGCTGCCCGCAACCGGTCCTTCTTCTTCTTCATCATATCCTCCTCACACCTCCCGCCCTCGTGCCGGCGAGTCGATAGCTACCTCGTTGTTGTTTTCAAGCGAAGCTGATCGTTCCGACAGAGTCAGCTTTGCTCCCATCTTTAAAACATCCTCAACCGAAAGCGCCATGGCTCAAGCTTCGTCTTCCTTGTCCAGCACTCCAAGCCTCACCAGCCCTACTTGTACACTTTCTCGCTCCGCATCTCTTCGATCAGCACGTTCCGAACGCAACAACGTCGTTGGCGGTACACGCTATCTATCGCTCAACGCTTCAGCCGATCTGCCCACAACGATGGAGGCACTCTCGCCCGAATACGGCACATCCAATCGGACACGTAGCGCTCCAAGATGGTCCAACTCCATGTCACGTAGAATGAGCATCAGCGCTCTCAACCAGACCATTCACTCTACAACCTCGCCTTACCTCAAGGCGGGTCTCCAGGAGCTTCGATCGATCTTTGATGTTGACACACTTGGGGTTGCTGTCGATGACCAGGACAGTTCTGACCTAGAAGGCGCTTCGCCCATCGAACGACGCTCCCAACCCTTCAATCCCTTTGGTGCCTCTGGCACAGCTTCAGGCGAGGCAGTTTTTGAGAGTTCCCAGACCTTCTCGCCGGTCTTGTCGCGTCAGAGCAGCTCTGAACATGGAGAGGTTTCGATCAACGTCCCCTCTGGTCGCGGCGGTACCAGCTTCAAGAGTCAGGTCTACGAGGCACCCGTCGCCCATCGTCGAGCGCAATCGTGGCGCAAGCATCGCAGCTTATCCATCTCGAATCTTCCGAATCCACCGTTGCCCGCGTCTGCCGGCAAGCACGAGAACTGGCAGAAGCAGTCCTTGTCCATCTTGCTCGACTCACGCGAAAGCTCAGCACGCTCTCCCTCGGTTTGCACGCCACTGGTGGCCGTGGGACTGGCAGCACTCAGCGTGACCATGGTGGGCGTCTGCGCTTTCGAGACTTGGATCCACCCTGATGCCGCTTCGATGCCCTTGACGGCTTTCATGCTCGCACAGTCCGCATTCGCCCTGGTTGGCATCGCTGGACTTGCGTTACAGAAGCGATGGGTGATCGACTTGGCATCTCGCTTGATCCGCGCACACGTGCTTTGCCAGGTGCTCATCGCGCTAGCTGCACTTGCAAGTCTGAGTCGCACCGCTTTCTATCGCCACCGCACGGACCGACAGATTGTAGACCGAGCAGCCGACGCCAGCATTCTCACCACGTCGCGCTTCCTGTCGAGCGACGTAGAGGCACTAGACCCGCATATGTCGTCGGTCGGATCGTTGCGAGATCAGCTCACTTACATTTGCGTGTTCGTCGTGCAAGCTGCTCTTCCTCTCGCCTTGGTGCTGTGGGCTCAGTATTCGTTGGCTTCAGCGCTCAGTCGCGCCACTCGTAACCTGCCTGCCTCCAACTCGAATGGCAGCAGCGTTAGCAAGCAACAACAGCCGCAACAACGTCAGCGTTCAGTTGCTGTCGTTAACGTTGCAGACCTAGATACTCCCCGAAACGAGCGACAGCGATTCAATAGCGAAAACCCGACCATCAGCAAAGCCTTGAGCAACAGCAACAGCAACAGCAACATCAACGCCAACGCAAATCAGCCTGGCAGCCAAGGATGGTTTGGTTTTGTAATCACCCGGCTCGATGTCACTCCAGACAAGACCGATTCCAAGTTCGAACTGGATCCATCCGAGCTCACCAAGCGACTACAGGCTCTGGCACGCGCCTAGTCGCATACACAACAACAACCAACACTAACCTATGGCTCAGATTGGATCCTGGCGACTCACAGCCTCAGCCATTCATCATCTCACCGTTTCCTGAGATATATCTTGCAACAGCACGTGCTTTCATCATCTACGATTGTATTTTTAGCCTCCTGCATCGGCTTCTTAGTGTCCTGACGCAGCCATACGTGTACCATTCATTCAGACTTTGTTCTCAAACTGATCAGCTACACGTTTGTGCCGTGTGTATTGCAACGAGGATGGTGCTAGAACTCGGGGAAGATATCACCTCGTCTCTGTTCCCACAGCGGCATCTTCTGTCGAGTGTTCTCCAACGATTGCAGATCGATATCCGCCAAACAATAGGTTGGTTTATAAGGTTGGATATCAGGACATTGAGCTATGACACTTCCCCAAGGATCAACAATCATTGCGTGACCCCAGGAAACTCTCTTTGTTCGGTTGTGTGCTCCGACCTGTGCAGCTGCTAGAACGTAGCTCTGCGTCTCGATTGCTCTTGCTTTCAGCAACGTTTCCCAGTGAGCTGCACCTGTGCGGAGGGTGAATGCGGAAGGATAGGTGAGTAGTTGTGCACCTTGTCTTCGAAGAGATAGTGATGGTTCTGGGAATCGCAGATCGTAACATGTTAGCAGGCCGAGCTTGCCCAATGGTGTTGAGCGAGGTGGAAGAAGCTGAGCGCCTTTGATCGTCGAATCGCTCTCAAGGATCTTGAGACCTCCTTTGATGTCTACGTCGAACAAGTGAAGCTTGCGGTAATGATCAAGGATCTCTCCTTGCGAGTCGATGAGAAGTTGAGTGTTGTAGCATCGCAAACGACCTTTGTTCTCGGCTCTGTCCTTTTCATCCTGCTCCGAAGATGGTGGTTCATGGACACCAACAGAGACCCAGACATTGGCGTCTTTAGCAGCAGACTGGATCCCACCAACAAAGTCTGAGTTGTCGGATGAGCGTGTAAGCTCAGCAACAGCTGAAGTGGGGGCGATAAAGTCGGTAGCTTCGGGGAGGAAGACGGCTTTGGCACCTGCACGAGAAGCCGATCTGATGATGGACACCGCTTGGGCCAGATTATCGGCAATCACGCCTGTGGTTTTCATCTGTGCTACTGCTGCCAGCACCATCTTTTCCTCTTAGCTGAGTGGTGTGATGGGGGAACCTGACCTTTGTATGTTGCGTCTGATGATCCGATGCTTGTGTGAGGGTTAGAGGATGGTTTCGGCGTCTAAAGCAAGACGCGCCTATGCAACCCCGCGATTTCACAAGATGGTGGAGGTTTGCGGTCCGACTTCCGACTTCCGACTTCCGACTTTTGTTCGGTTTTAATTTCCGATTTCCGATTTCCGATGAGATGGTGCTGGATCGAATGATCCGCAAAAATATCACCACTTTTCGCCGAACAAGAAAGGCTGTGCTGTGCTTGGACTGTGGACACAGAGGTTGCCGGACCTCTTCATTGTTCTGACAGAGACGTCAGCGGTCAGCAGTTTCATCAAGTTGCCCTGGACGCCAGAAAAAGGCAACAGACACCAGCACAGGACAGGCGCTTTGACCCTTTCATGGCTGCGTGTCACAATAATCCCAGTTGTAGGTTCACCGATCAAAAGTAGCTTGGTGTCTTGCTTTCTCTCGAACCACCATCCACGAACCACGAACCACGAACCACGAACCACGATCCACGATCCACGAACCACGAACCACGAACCACGATCCAAGCGACAACGTCTTGCTTCACATCTACCATCAGGAGCTACCAACTCCGAAATAATCCTACCGCAGATCGTCACTTTCAGGCCGAACGCAAAAGCCTCATGACGATGCCTTCCGCATCCCCCAACCACAGAACCAGTAGACCCTGAGCCCGCTCCACGATCCTATCGAATGGCCGCAACTCAGCACAGTCTGCCGTAGAAAGGATTTCCTCCACCGACGCGCAAGTTAGGAGGAACAATGGCAGATCAACAAGCAGGTCAGGAGCCGGACGAGTTCGGGGCCCTGCCCGGTGCCGTTTCTGACCTTCGCTCTCGCTTTGAGCAGCTCTCCAAGTCTGAGAGCAGTCGACCTACCTACAAACAGACAGCATCCTCGGCAAACAGCGGTAACAAGGATCTCAATGCGACCCACACATTCGGTCAAGCAGAGAAGAAGCTCGTCATTGCCAACAATGCCGCCGCTCGAGCTGGCTCGTCTCAGTCCCAGAAATCCAAGACTAAGAATACAGCATCTTGGGCATCCCCCCAGAGCACCGCTACCGACAATGCCTCCGCATCCTCTTCAGCAGCAACACCTCCGTCTGCATCTGTGACTCACAAGTCTTTTCGTGCAGGTTCAGGTCCTTCTACTCTTACTGTAGCCGATCTCGCAGCACTGTCCGTTTCCGGGAGTGCAAACTCTTCCACCGCCGACCTTTCAACGATGAACAACAAGGAAACCAAACATGCCCCTCCTTACTCACGACAGTCTTCCAACAATGCCAATTCGCTCGCTATCCCTGACTGCAAGTTTGCCCAGCCGAACCCTACACTGCGCCCAAAGAAGTCTCGTTCGCTGCTCGATACCTCCAGCACGCCAGGCTCGACAAAAGCCTCTGCAACCGCCTCCGCGACAGCATCTGCTTCCGCATCTGACGCAGAAGGCTCAGCACCAAAAGCCAAAGTTGCACCCCCAAGACCTCCCAAGCCTACTTCTGCATCTCATGGCGTTCAGATTATTGATGATGCCGGTCTCGAACGACTCTCGAGTATGGGCTCTTCGTCTCGTGTTTCTTCTCTCGCAAGCATGTTCGGCCATCATTCTAGTCATCACAAGTCTACTAATGGGAGCGAAAAGCCCTCGGCCTTGGCGCCGAGCCGCATCTCCACCGGCAGCAGTGGCCACTTCCTCAAGTATTCTCGCTCTAATGAGCAGCTCTCGCCAGCAGCTGACACAGGGTCGAAACCAAATCTGTTCAAACAGTCACCCCCTGTTGTTCCTCCACGCCCGATGAAAGTAGATGCCTCTGAGGAGAGTCTGTCTGGGCTTCCAGCTTCCATTGCTTCCGTCATGCTGGACGTCGATACTGACGTTTCACCTCCAATTCCACGAAAACCATCGACGCCAATGTCGCCTCCAAAGCTGCCATCTCGAGATCCAGTATCGACAATAAGCGACGACTTGCGCCGAAGAAGGCTCAGCGCATCTAGAAGCACCGGCTCTCTGCCTGTCATGACTGGCGTACTTGCTGGGGACGAAAGCGATGTTCCACCACTCCCAGCACGCAGACCTGCAGCTGGCGAGCCAGCTGCAACTGGCCCATCTATCCTTCCACCACCTCAACGAAATGCAGCCTCCGTGGAAACTGCCCCTGGCGTCCACAGAGCTCACACCCTCACGGCCAGATCCAACCCCATTCCCCTTTCTTCCTTGACAGCTCGGCATCCGTATCACTCTCGGACCTTAGCACCGCACGACTTGGATTCTTCAACACCGGTCTTGCCTCCTCCCGTTCGCAATGCTAGTGTCGCATCCAACGGCCCTCTTGGTCGCAGCTTCACATCTTCCATCTTCTCAGCCAAGAGTCCTGGCAGTGACAGCTCTGATGACGAAGACGATACCGAAGGTGCCTCCTCGCTCTCTCCCTCGTCATCGTACAAGACGCCGATGGGCCTACGAAGACCACATGCAGCGGCGGACATGACACCTGGTGGGCTTCCCGATACATCGCATGCCAATCGACGAGCACCCAAATTCGATCCCGACTGCTGCACGTGCTCGAAACAAGGCTTCCAATGCTTTGCCCTCTGCGGTCGTACTGTTGTCACCGGCAGTGGCGATAAGGTGAAAGTCTATCGTGTTGGCGAATCAGCCAGTGGTATGGGCGAAAAGCTTTGCACTGTTGGCGAGCATCTGTCGAAAGAAGTCAAGTTGACAGCGCTCGAGTTTAGGCCGCCAAATCACAGTATCGCGCCATCGTCCGCAACGACAGGACGACGCGCGCATGGCGAGACGGCGGATGAAGGGAGGTATCTCTGGTGCGGAACCAAAGATGGGCATATTTGGGAGCTTGACATTGCCGAAGCACAAGTGGTTCACTCGCGGCAAAACGTTCATTCGGATCCCATTCAGTTGCTTAGGCGGGTTGGGAATAAGATGCTGAGCTTAGATGAAGGAGGCAAGATTTCAATTTGGCTTGCTAGCTCGGATCCTGACCCGGCTATCGCGGGACTGCGACTCTCGAATCAACCCATCACTCAACGCATTGCTATGGAGAAAGGTTCTTACGCCTGCATGGTCGGTCAGCAGCTTTGGGTATCCTCTGGCCCATCCGCACAACGGAATCCAAAAGATTATGCAGGTAGCAAAGGTCCTCGTATCCGAGTCTACAATCCTTTTGCCGACGATAAACCGTTCAATGCGCTCTCCAAAGCCATAACCATTCCACCAGACATAGCCGAAGGTGTTGGCCTAGTGACGGGTGGAGCTGTCATTCCTTCCCGACCGACCTTGGTTTACTTTGGGCACGATTCGGGGCACGTCTCGATCTGGTCCAGACAGACGTACGAATGCGTTGGTGTGCGTAAGCTCGGTCCGCATGGTCTCACAGCTGTTGCTGGTGTAGTCAAGTATCTTTGGGTAGCCACGAGAGCAGCAACGATCTCAGTGTTCGATACAGAGACTGCGCCGTGGCGAGCGCTTAAGATCTGGACAGCGCACAAGGAGCCGATTACCGCGATCAAGGTTGATGAGCATGGAATAGAGAAGGTTGGCAGGTTGCAAGTTGCCTCTGGTGGTCTAGATGCTGCTGTGCATCTGTGGGACGGTACGCTTTCGTATGATTGGATTCAAGCTGAAAAGGGCAAGCGAGAGCACGAATTCTGCAGTTATCGAAGCATCAAGAGCCTCCACGTCACTTACAATATCGATGCTGCTTCTCCAAGCGATCTCGAGACTTCGGCGGAGAATATGGAGGTTTTTAGCTCTATGCTTCGCAACGCATGTCAGCTCGGATCGGACAGTTTACCTGCGGATAGACCACCAGATATCATCGTTTTCGGCTTCCAAGAACTCATCGATCTCGAAAGCAAAAAGCTCACCGCCAAATCGCTTCTCTTAGGCGGTGGGAAAAAGAAAGCAAACGACCTAGGCGATCGAGTGTCAAGACAGTATAGAGCATGGTATGATAAACTGATCCAGATCGTACGATATGCTATGCCACCAACATGCGGATATCTTCTAGTGCAGTCGGAAAGTTTGGTAGGATTGTTTACCTGTGTCTTTGTCAAACAGACCGAGTTCAAGCACGTACGCGAGTTAGCCATCAGCACGGTCAAGACGGGAATGGGCGGTAGGTACGGCAATAAAGGAGCAGTGATAGCCAGGTTGGTGGTTCAAGATACAAGTATTGCGTTTGTCAACGCTCATTTAGCTGCAGGACAGAAACATGTTAAGAGTAGGAATGCTGATGTTGCTGATATACTGGAGTATCCAACGGTTTTCAGTGATGCCCATTCAGATCCAGCTGCTTATGTCGGTGGGGGAGATGGCAGTATGGTTTTAGATCACGAATTGGTTTTCTTTGCCGGCGATCTTAATTACCGCATTGATCACTCCAGAGAAACCGTGCTCTCTGCTATCGCGGCCAGAAAGCTAAGCGCATTGCTGGAACAAGATCAACTTCGCAAAGAACTAAAACATAACCCTGCTTTCAGATTGAAGGACTTCAGCGAAGCTCCCATATCCTTCCTTCCAACATACAAGTACGATAGGGCAACGCACCAATGGGACTCATCAGAAAAAAATCGCATCCCAGCCTGGTGCGACCGAATCCTATTCAAAGCAAACTCCCCCCAATCCCTAAAATGCTTACACTATACAAGATGGGAAGCTACAATAAGTGACCATAGACCCCTCACCGCCCTCTTCGAGATCAAGGTGAAAGCAGCAAACCACAAAGCTAGACAGATCGTGGAGGATGAATTAAAGATGAAATGGAACAAGTTGCAGACAAGCTTGTTGACAACTGCTTTGCAGTTTTATTCTAATCCACAATGAGAAGATGCATATAATCGACTCTTTTGCAAAGCGCCTTGTCTACAAATTCTGTCTGTGATAGTATTGTGTCCATCAGAGATTCGCATCACGCTCACGATTCTCGGCGAGGATAACTCCAACTTGGAAGTCGCGCAAATGGGTGAAACCTTTCCTAACCGCCCCTCGCACGGTCATTCCCCCACCATGCTCGCTCGCCCTAGGCGAGACGTACAACCTATTGAGAGTCTTTGACACCTGCGCGCTTCCACCTGCCGTTTTGTCTGCACCCTGGATGTTGGCCTTCTGTTCTCCAGTCGCCGGCAGGAAAGGTGCTTTCCTCGCCCGTTCTTTCTGCGAAGGCGAAGCTTGCCAGTCCCCTGGCAAGACTAGTGGGAATACGAAGCTATCTTCTTTCTCTCCCTTGCCCTTGCTGTGGTTCTCGATAATTTCTTTCCGGATGTCCAGCATGGTGCCGAGTTTTGGGAATAAACGCGGCTCGACTGGAGTAACAGCAGGGTACTGCGATTCGGCATCTGTTTCGAGCGGACGGATCTTGGAGAGAGGAGGGTTCGTGTCGGAGACCCAAGACGTCAGTAGGCTCGGAGAGGAGGGAGAGTCTTTACGATCCCAAGAGTAGTTTCGACCTTGTAAGCCACGAGATTCTTCTTCGATCGGGGTTACACGGAATTCGGATTCGGGGGTGGCGTGGGCGGTGGCGTGGGCGGTGGCGTGGAGAGGGTCGAAGATGAGTGGGATGATGGGGATGCGACCGGAGCAAGTTGCTGCTCGGAGGGCTGTTTCTAAGTCGGCAAGGATCTGTGTTGTGAGCGAGATGAGGGATGAATAAGGGACAAATGTGTCAGTAAGAAGGGAATGAAGGGGGCGGGGATAGAGGAGTGAGTATGAAGACTTACGTAGAACTGAGGAGGGAAGAGCGAAATCTGATCAGTGATACCTGCGAACATGATTTCGCTCGGCGTCTGCAATCTTAGTGAAAGCGTTTCCGATCCATCAGCAGAGATGTGAAGCGACTTGTCTGATCCAAACACATCCGGCGTGTCAAGGACCGTAATGAAGAAGTGCGTATCGAAGCGCTTTGCAGGACGGACGACACTTCGAGGCGTGATCCAATTCGAGTAATGGGCCATTGGTGTGAGCTCAGGCAAGGCGTTCTCGCCTGCGCCAAGCTTTCCATTCAACCCGAGCTTGCTGCATACTTTGCGGAGGAAAGGAACAAAGTCAACAGCGTTATGATGGACATCGTTCCTTGCGTGAGCCCATTCTTGCGCTGACATGCCGGCTTCTTGATGCCCCACCGCACGGCTTGTCGGTAGGCCAGAGGGGCTAGCGTTCGATGATGGCAGCAAAAGCAGACCGGCTTCCTCGAACGTCTCTCGTAAGGCACAAAGCTTGAGCGCGTGCATGTACTTTTCCATCTCGTCGCCTTGCGGTAGAGCTGCGTTGATTTCGGCTTGGTCTATAAGGTCGAGTGCGCCTCCTGGGAATACGACGGCGGATCGAAAGCTGGAACCGTCTCTTGCTGAACGTTGCAGCATGACAGTATCATATTGAAGCTCGCCACCTGCTTTCTCTTTCTTTGCTGATCGTGGACAAAGAACGACGAGGGTGGCGGAAGGGAGAGGTGTCATTGGCTCTCCCTTGGCTCCTGTCTTGTGATCCGACTCACGCTGAGCACCGCGCGGCTTGGAAGGCTTCCATGCTGGAGCTGAGCCTTGAGTGGCCATTTTGATCCGATCTGTGTGACTGTACGAGATTTGACGAGTGCCGATAGAGGGCGGTCGAGGTGGCGTGGGAATGTGATTTCTGAGGAGAGGTGTCCAGATCGAGGAGGAGCGCAAGAGTATCGGCAGTTCCGTTCGTGGTAAGATGCTGGATGTACGGAGCAGAGTCAAGGCTGTCCGAAGGTGCATGATACGGACGGAACAAGCAAAGGAGATGGCAGCTGTGTCGGAAGTTACCGATGCCAAGTATACCGGCCTGGGGGAGCGAAGGTGTGTCGGTGTGCGAGGACCGATGCCGAGCTGTGCGTTGCCATGACAACGGTTATGAAACGGTCTAGACCAACGGTCTGGAGTTATGTAGGAAAAGAAATAAATCACTTGACCTCAGCGCCCGCAATGCTGTGTGACTGTGTCGCGAGCCAGCTTTCGGACCATCCGATGCTATCGAGACTCTCTCTCTCTCTCCCTCTCTCTCTCCCTCTCTCTGAACCATCACAGTGACAAACTCAGCCTCGAGCAATTCCACATCTGAGAGCACAGTGATAACGATTGAGATCATCCGGGTGGCGTAGAGAGCTGTTTGAGATCATCAACCACATATTGCAGCGAGCTCATCACCACCAAGACTACTTGAGCCATGTCAGATTGGGCTTCATCATTAGGCTATTCTGCATCTGATCTGTTTCCCCACAGTGACGACGAAGGGCTTCTTCAAGTTGAGCCACTGACCAAGGTAAGGCAACAACACACATGCCTGATTTTCAACATGTCGAGACTAAAGGTACTGACAATCCCTGGTGTCTGTAGAGCCTGGCGCTGAAGCCAGTCGATGAAGAGTCGGTGCCCTTCACAGACACTCCATTGTAGGTAGCATCGAGCGCAAATATACTGGAAGCAGAGGCGAGAGGAGACAATGCTGACAATAATCTCGAGTGCCTCCTCATAGCTCCATCGCCGCTCGCAATGCCCAAGTGCGGAAAGCACGTCAGTCTGCCTTTCGATCTGTGGAGCATGCGAGCAAAAGTAGTAGTAGTGACAGCGCTCAACAGCCTGTCGAACGAGCTTCTCAGCAAACACAGCAACACCCGCAACAAACAGGTCAACCGATTGGTCAGGCGAGCACATCAAGGACGAGCCATCAACAGCATCAACAGCACCAACAGCATCAACAGCATCAACAGCATCAACATACTTCCAGCCCCCGTGCAAACACGACTCGAGCTTCTCCCTATCGAACCGCTCCACCGCTTGGCCATGCAATCACATCAAGCACGAGCTTGCAACATCACGAACTTCGCCCAAGCCCACCTGCGAGCTCCTCTCACATCGTTCCGCCACGACAACGAATCCCTTCACCGCCGCCGAGACAAGCTCAAACACCAAGCATACCATCAGAAGCTATTGTCATATCAGATGACAGCGAAGACGAAGTTGAAGTCACCGGCGAGTTCTTCAGGGGAGGAGCTAGCAGTGATGTGGCCCCTAGATCAGAAGAGGATGAAGAAGTTGAAGTAAAGGGCGAAGAGATCCTGCAACAGCTCTTCGAAGAAGATCGCGACTTCTACGAGAGTCTTGAGCAGGAGATGGCGGCCAAGCAACAGGCAAGGTCAGACTCAGCATCCTCGCTGCAGATTCAAAGCATGATTCCAGATGCTGGGAGCACTTCCTACGATATCAGTTCGTTTGCGCCCACGTATGCGACAAGCACTTATCCGCCACATGCGCAAGTGCCTCCACCGGCCGCACCAGGTTATGCGCCAGTCGCATTCGATGCTTATGGACGCCCAATGCAATATGCTCCTCTCAGTCGCGCAGCAACGCCAGCTCGGATGATGCCTGTGCCGCCGTATCCGCAAACCCCGCAGACTCCGGTCGTACCGTATCAGCAGCCATATCTGCAACATCATCAGCAGCCCTACCAGCAAATATACCAGCAACCATACCAGCAGCCCTACCAGCAGTCATACCAGCAGTCATACCAGCCACCATACCCTCTACCGTATACCCAACAAGCTCAGCAACCATCTCGACCTTACACGCAGCAAGCACACCAGCCATACCAATATGCCGCACCAAGCCCACAATACACGCAGGCCTCCCAGTCGCCTATCCGCAACGCCCCAGATCTTTCCTCTTTCAGGCGGCCAAGAACACCTAGACAGGTGCAGGCGGACAAAGCCAAAGCAGACAGTACGTTGCTAGCACCAGGTACGCTCACGGAAGTATGCCACTGAACCCTTGCTGACTTTCATGCATTGGGCCCCACAGTGATTATGAAAGCTTTACAAGGAAGCAAAAGCTCAAGGGCCAAACCTCGAAGTAAGTCCCCGCTCTCACCTGCCATTAAGCAGTATTCAGCTAAGATTCTGTTCTGCTCTGCAAACAGCGCCTCCTGCCATCACAGTGGAGAGTTACGGCAAAGAGAACGAGTGGTCAACTCTCAAAGCCTCACGTACAGGTCCGGATGGCACTCTGTCATTGACAGCTGCGCTACGCAGACCTCTGCCAGCAACACGACTCCCACAAAGCGGTCGTGGAGGCACCCGGATTGCCATGCCACTCTATCGCCCAGTTGGAAGTACAGCCGAAGCAAGACGGCGAGCAGAGACGCTTATGCTTGCAGGACCATCCCGACCTAGAGTTGCCGAAAGCAGCACAGCTACCTCCTCTTCTACTTGTACCTCGAGCAGGCGACTCGGTACGACTGCAGGTCCATCCAGGGCGTCCAAACTCTTCAGACCGTCCCCTCTATCTGACAAAGGCAAGAGCGTTGCAAGGAACTGATCCACACTTGCTTGCCAATCAACTCAACCAGACTGCGAAAAAAGGGAATGCGCAAAAAGAGTCTGTGATTTATGCAGGTCGATAATGAACATTTATGCGAAGAGGATGCAACGAAAACGAACGAATCAAAGCGAAAGGCAGAAAGAAAAGTAGTTTTGAAAGAGATAAAGAGAGAGAGAGAGAGAGAGAGAGAGCAAGGTGTCGATGGCAACAGCCATGCTGTTGTTTATGCGAAGACGGCAACAGCGGCGGCGGCAACAGCAAGACCAGTGCCGACCATCGACGCGGCGTTGCTGGTGGCACCGCTGCTCTGCTTGGAGGAGGAGGGAGTGTTGGAACCGCTGGCGGCGGGAGCCTTGTTGGAGCTGCTGGCGGAGCCAGAGTTGCCACTGCTGGAACCGGCGGGGGACGAAGATCCCGAGCTGGACGAGCCGGAGTTGGAAGAGCTAGGGGAGCCAGCAGAGCCAGAGGAGCCAGGGGAGCCAGCGGATCCAGATGAGCCAGAGGAGCCAGCGGAGCCAGCGGAGCCAGAGGAGCCAGAGGAGCCAGGGGAGCCAGAGGAGCCAGGGGAGCCAGCGGATCCAGATGAGCCAGAGGAGCCAGAGGAGCCAGTAGTAGCAGTAGAGCCCTCAGCGGCGGCAGAGCCGTTGCTGTCGAGGCACGCGGTGTCCTGGCCAGCAAGGATGGTAGCAGGAGCGCTGTAGTTGGTCTCACCGCTGTCGTCCGAGATGGCGAAGCTGACTTGGGTGTTGGCGGGAAGGTTAGGGACCCACTTAAGGCTTGTGAGGCCAGCGTCCTGAGGAGCGAAGCTGAGAAGAGGAGTAGCCGAGGGCTGGTTAGCAGGGAGGACCTTAACGTAGGCTGTTTCGATGCAAGAGAAATAGAATGTACGGGAAGAGGAAGTCAGTTACATTGTCTCTGGCCAAGACAGGTCCTCTCTGAGGTGGAGAAAGTACTCACTCTTGCCCTGAGCACCGGTCCATGTAAGAAGAATAGGCTGACATTGGGTGAGGGAAGCGGGGGTGTTGATCTGGGCGGCCGAGACGGCGCCGGCAGCGGCAATGACGGCAGCGACAAGAATGGCGAAGTTGTTGAACATGGTGACGGCTATGCTGGTGTTGATGGAGGTAGTTGTGATGGAGAAGAAGATGGTCGAGGTGGAAACGGGATCGAACACTCACACACATGCAGGTCTTATAAAGGTCAGACGGAAGGCAAGCAGACTTCATCTCAGCGATTTGACCCCAAAAGGGCGCATCAATGTTTCGTGCGTCGAGAGTTCGAGAGGGCGCTGACAGACAAGCCAAGCAAGGCAGGCAGGCAGGCAGGCAGGCAGGCAGGCAGGCAGGTAGGCAAGCGGGACTTCATGTATGTTTTTTATTCAAGTGACGAGGGTTAGGGCTGCACGGCGGCGGCGACAGCAGCAAGGATAGTGGGCTGTCGATTTGTACAGCTGTATCAGAATCAGAAAGGAGGAGGAGTGTGGACGCACAGGGTATCACTTGCTGCACGAGGACTCGAACCCCTTTATTGATGCAGACACACAGCACACACCGAGGGGCAGCAGCAAAAGGACAAGCAACTTGCATGAGATTGGCATTCAGGAAACTTTTGGTAACACCCACCGGAACAACAGTGAAACGAACTGCGGATCGCTAGGGTAGGCAAGGATGCTGGGATCTTAAATGCTATCATATCGATTCGCTATTGCTGTAGACCACTTGGCTAAGCGAAGCAAAGGCTCCTCATTCTGGGGTTGCGAAGGGAGGAAGAAAAGTGTCTGGCATCTCAATAGAGCAACAGTATGCGGCATTTGAAAGGGTGCACGAAAGAGAAGTGTTGTTCTCGAATCATAGAGGAACACCTCACATAGAGGAACACCTCACATAGAGGAACACCTCACATAGAGGAACACCTCACATAGAGGAACACCTCACATAGAGGAACACCTCAAAGATCTGCACTCGTCGGTCTGCTCGATTGACCGCGGCACAACAATGTCGGACACTCAAAATTTGACCAACCGCACCAGGAAGAAAACGCAGAGAACAAGTCGGCGCGGCTTTGGTCATCAAGCGACGTCCTTGTCTGTCGACAGCGCACAGCCCAGCCCAGCCCAGAAGAAGAGAGTTGTGGGTTTGATGCCGCAGAAAAGTGGCCCTGTGTTGTTACTTGGTCGGCGTCGGTAAAGGTGATTGGCATATCTGTTCCGAGCTCTTGTCAGACCTTGACAGCCAACTTGGGAGAGCCAACTTGGGAGTGTTGAAGTTTGGGTCCCGATAACTGGCGATCGGGGAGAGTCTAAGTACGATGTCATTGCTGCTAAAAGACAGAAAGATATATACTTAATTGACTAAGGAAAGAATGTGGTGGGAGCCTCGAGCTCCGCGCTTGATATATATACAGGCTATCGGCATATGCCAAAGGTGGGAGCTTGCCACTTCATGACGATGTGTGTCAACGAGGGGGACTAAGTTGTACCCGATTTCTATTGAGATCGGCTCTGTCCGATCTCTGATCAGATCTATTTTGCCCGATCCCTCTCGCATCGTCTCATGTCAGCTTACATCATCACATTGGATTGTTTACTTTCGGCAGGGAGAGCCAGCTTGGGAGAGCGGTGCTGGAGTCGTGGGTGCCAGTTGCGCTGCTTTCCTGTGTTGGGCTTAGGTTGAGCAAAGGATGAGATCTGCACTGTCTGTCAAAACAGAGAGTGTCAAGTTAAGGTATCGCCGATTCGTCAAGGTTGGAAAGAAATCGCCGATGGATCACCTGCGGGCAGCTGTTAGGTCGAGCGTAACTGCACAAATAGACAAAGGCGCTTCAGTGTCCGCTTCTCTCCCCATCAGGGACAGTCTATCTGGTGTATGCCCTTTTCACGGTCGATGCAGATGATGAAAGCTACCGAAGGTCCGCGGGAAGGCTGTTGACGTTATACACTCGCCAGTAGGATCGGCTGGAGGCTGATGTGGCCACCACGATCATGACCAAGATGGCGACTATTATTGTGGGCCTGACTCATGACTGATTACGCAGTTCAGCCGACATTTGAGCCTTGAATTGGCTCACGGACCCTCACAACTGACAATTGTCAGAACTTGTCTCATCTCATTCTGTGCAAGCAAGCAAGCAAGCAAGCAAGCAAGCAAGCAAGCAAGTAAGCAGGCAAGCAGGCAAGTAGGCAAGCAAACAAGCAAGCAAGTTACGAGACGGGAAAAGGATTCCGAGCGGGTCAGACAAGCAAATATGACATTTTAACCAAGAAAGAGCGATGACACAAACTTGCACCCAATCCCAACTCTCATGACTGAGGAAAGAAAAGACACAGCCTCTGTCTCTCTGTCTCTCTCTGTCTCTCTCTGTCTCCCTTGCTGCTGAGAGAGAGAGGGAGGGGCAGCTGTGTTAGGATCCCAGCTCGGCATCTTTTCGCCCACGGAGAAGCGGTAAGAATTGCAGCTTCTGCACCAGTTTGCGGAGTCTAAAGTCCGTGGCAAAAGCGGAGCTTTGAGTGTATGACATGGCACTTTCCTTAGCACCGACCGACTTGTCTGTCCATCTCTCTCTCTATCTCTCTGTCTGTGTCGCAATCACTGCTGAGCAACGTCTTTACTGACTCTGTAAAGCCATGCTGGAGTTCAAGGGCAAAGCCAAAGCCAAAGCCAAAGCCAAAGCCAAAGCCAAAGGATTGCCGCTCAAACAGCCCAAGGGGGAGAAGCTTGACGACCTGGTTCATGATAGACCTTTGTCCTTTGTCCGGATCCTGAATTGCATCCCTTGCTTTGCATCCCTCCACGATCAACTACTGTATTCAAAGCAGCCGATCTAGCAACTCCGGAACTCATCTTCCAGTCCATACCAGTCGCCGCCCGCGCAACAACGAGTTGAGTGCACCTTTCAACCTTGCCCTTGCCCTTGCTCTTGCTCTTGCCCTTGCCCTCGACGGTCAAACTTGCCACGTTAGTCGATCCCTGTCCTTGGCATCCTCTCTCCCTCTGTTGATACACGCTCTCCACCTTCGAACCCCTGCTAGTGGCGTTCATCAAAGCTCAACCTGTATCGGACCCTCGACCCGCACACACACACACACACACACACACACACCTTTAGCTCCCTTCCACCTCCCCTCCTCGATCCTTCCTCTCTTCCGCCATCATGTCCACCAACGCCAATCATCTCAGTAAAACCGACTCCAGAGCATCCAGCACAGGTACTCGCTCCTCCATCCTCAGTCGTGCTTCTGGCTTCATGATGGGTTCACGACGCAACCAGGCGGCTTCCGAAAGCCACGCTGCCACCTCTTCCACCTCTTCCACCACTGTCCACGCTCCGACCTCCTTCACCGCTCCTGCCAATCAAACCAATCCAGCAAGCGCCGATAGCAACCGTGTTCGCAAGTTCGAGAACATCTTCACTGCTCCCGACCCGAGCGTCAAGTTGATTCCACCGGCTCCTCTCTCGGACGCACAACAGGCCAAGTACGACGAGATGCTCGAGTACTTCAAGTCTCTGGACGAGTACCCCACCACTCTGAAAGCCAACTCGCCCAAGAAGCCCCTCACCGAATGGGAGAAGCTTCGCAACCTCTCGCGTGAATCCATGCTCCGCTACCTCCGTGCCACCAGATGGGATGTAGCATCAGCCAAGAAGCGTCTCACCGAGACTATCGCCTGGAGGCGAGAGTACGGCGTCGACAGTCTCAAAGCCCAAGACCTCGAACCTGAAGCCATGACGGGCAAAGAAACCATCCTTGGCTACGACAATCGTGGCCGTCCACTGCACTACATGCACCCATCTCGCAACACCACCCAAGAGACACCACGACAGATGCAGTTTGCAGTCTGGATCCTTGAACGCGCCATCGACCTCATGCCTCCCGGTGTAGAGATGCTTGCCCTCCTCATCAACTTTGCTGGCAAGAAACGCAATCCGACCTCGATCAGCAATGCCAAGCTCATGCTCTACATTTTGCAAAACCACTATGTCGAACGCTTGGGTATCGCTCTCTGCATCAACGTTCCTTGGATCTTCAAGGCTTTCTGGAACGCCATCTACCCTTTCATTGACCCTGTTACCAAGGGCAAGTGCAAGTTCGACCAAGCCATCAAAGATCAAGTTCCTGCTTCACAACTTGCTACTGACTTTGGTGGATTGCTCGACTTCCCCTACCATCATGATAAGTACTGGCCTCAGTTGGTAGAGTTGACTAACAAGCGCCGTGAGGAGCAGCTTGAACGTTTCCGTACGTTGTGCAACTCGCAAATCGGCGCTTCGGAATGGGTCATCCGTGGTGGAGATATCCGCTCTACAGCACCACACAAGCAAGATTCTGGCTTCCATCAAGTCTCTGCCCTCTCTTCTGCCGGCACTGCCAAAGAAGTCACTGATGCCAACGCAGCTGGCAACCATCTCGAACGCGAAGGATCATCCCGCACCGACTCCACCGCCGTTGAGCAAGCCACACCCATCTACGCATCCGCCGACGCAGAAGCCGATGATGATCTCGACCGTTTCTACACCTCTCAAACCGAGTTGCCTCCCACACTCGAAACAAAACAAGGTGCCACTTCTGATTGGCAACACTCGACAGTCGTCAACGAGGACTCGACTTGTTCGACCAAGTCTTCCAACAAGTCTTCCAACAAGCATGCGCACAAGCACGGTGATGCTAGCCTGTTCGCAGCTGTTGTTGGCGGCATCTCGGCTGGCTTGACGGGTGGTAAAGCTGCAACTGGGGCTGCCCAACAGACGCAGAAGACAGCAGAGAACGAGTCCAAGTGGCACGATAAGCACAACCATATCAACCACAACAAGGCCATCGCCCATAGGAAGTCGGAGAGTGAGACGAGTCCTGCTCCTCCTATTTCTGCTGTCTGAGTCTGAGCGGCCTACGTGGAACTATACAGTATTCATCATTGACTGTCTTCATATACGCACCTCTCATCATGCATACCACTACTCTCTCAGCACCACTGCATTTCTTTATCTCGTTTCTACTTTGTCTATCTCGCTTCTACTTTGTCTATCTCGAGTTCCTGTTATCTCTTGTTCGCAAATCGAGAATCGTTCTTGGCATGTATCAATATCACGCTCCATTGTGTCGCTCAAATCCCAACGACGGTGGTCGCTGAGCTGTCGACCCACAATGTCACACGTCACACAATGCCACACCTATGCAAGATTCTCGTTGCCCTTCTGATCTTGAGATGAATCTACGTTGGGTTAAGCCTTACACAGCAGCCACACACCATGAAATGAGTTGCAAATCCAAACACTTGCCTCCTATATCCATCGGTGCACTTTAGAACTTGCCCGGGTGTTGAGCATGCAACCAAGTTGTCATCATCTGCAACGCAGCCTTGGGTTTATCATGAGGAACAAAATGACCAGCGTCTTCGAGGATGAGATATGTTAGGTTACCCCAATTCTTATACTCTCCACCCTTGACTTGCTTCTTTGTGTCTACATACCACGGCAATAGGGGTTGCTTGTTATACTTCTCTTTGCCATCCCACTCTAGTGCTTCTGACCAAGCACGATTACCGAGGTAATTGCAGATAAAGTCCCTCTTACCCGAGTAGGTCAGAACCCTGACCTTTTCTTTCAGTATGTTGGAAACAGCCCAGGTAGAATCACGAGCACCATCGCCAGTCTTTTCAAAATGAGCATATACCCTATCCGAGCACCCCACAAAAGTTCCATCATGCTCATCACCCGGACCCTTTGCATCCACTGCCAGTGCGGATTTAGTGTCGGGATGGTTCAGGAAGGCAGCAACCCAATCTTCCTCTACATAGCTGCCTGGGTGTTGCCAATCATACGGCGACTTTCCAAGCTTATCGTAAGGGGAAGCAAGAGAACCTTCGCAATAGTTGACCGCAGCGATGCAGGCTAGGGTGTCGTATGTTCTACCGCCTTTGTTTTTGCGGTTGCATTTTTCGACAAGAGTGAGGCAGGTAGCGATGCTTTCGCGCATCTTTTTACACTTCTTTTCCGGTAGTAGCGGCTTCGGGGAACCGGAGAGGTTGGTGCATGTATATTCGACGTATGCAGGGTACTGGTGTTGGGGGCTGGTGATTCCGTTTCCGATCAGGACACTTGTAAGAGGCAGTGGAGCGAGGGACAGTTCGGGGTGGTGCGAGATTCTCTTATTGTCTTGAAGGATTTGGTTTGCAAGGAGGGGGATGTATCGTCCAGCATAGCTCTCACCGGCAATGTGGAACGAAGGGAAACTGTGTCGGTCTCCTTTGAAGATTTCTTTGCCCATGTGCATGGCAAGGAGATGCAAGAACGCAGAAGCGTCTTTCGCAGCAGATTCAGCACTCAACACACGTGCGGGGGGCTTGTCGCTACGAGACTTGTTCGCCCAATCAACGTACGAGTAGCCCACTCCGACAGGTTGGTCCAAGAAGATGACAGTTGCATTGCTGTTCCATGCCCAAGGGTTTCTTTCTGTGCCCGGTCTACCTCGGCGCGATTTGGGATTGACTGCATTGCACGGTCCAAGCTCCATCAAGAGACCAGTGAAAGAGGAACATCCAGGCCCACCATTGAGCCAGAGTAGCACGGGGTCGTTCTTGGGATCGTTGCGAGATTCAAATGCCCAGAAATAGAAATGCTCGATCGCTCCCTTGGACTCGCCCTCCTGTTTGTGCTTGAGGGTGGTGATGGGAGAGGAGGAGAGCGAGGGGTCGAATCGGTGAGAAAGGCGGTCGACATCGACATCGAGGTATCCAGAATACGATCTCACCGTAGAATCGCAGATGGAAGAGGGGGGTGAGACCACACGGAGACTGTGGCCTGGCAGATGCGGGTGGTCGAGGATCTTGTGAGCGGAAGAACAAGATTGCAGAGAGAAAGGGATTTGAGCTGCTTCAATGGCGGAAGCCGCGATGCTGGCTAGCAGCGTGAAGCTGGTAAGGAGACGCATCTTGCCTGCCGTCCTGCAAGAGGTGTGATCGCACAAGATGTGGTAGGGCGAGGGGTAGTAGGTCCAAGATGATGGTGTCTTGTTTGTGTAACGCTAGATGGGTCCCTTTATCCCGATACCAAAGCGCCAAGCAGCTCGGCGACATTTTTGTTGAAAAGTAAAGACGTTTCGCTCCCGATACTGGTGATCGGGGAGAGTCTGAGTACGATGTCACTGCTGCTAAAAGACAGAAACATATATACTCAATTGACTGAAGGAATGTGGCGAGAGCCTAGTGCTCCCAGTGAGATATATATACATCTGGGTGGTACATGCCGAGTGTGGGTGTATCCTCCTTCATGGCGATGCTTGATGACGAGTGGGACCATGTTGTATCCGATCTCTCTTGAGATCGGCTCCGTCCGATCTTTGGCCGGATCGGCTTCGCCCGATCCCCCCCGTATCATCTCATGTTACCTTGCATCATCATATTGAATTGCTAATTTTTAACAATTTTTCCTGCCTTGGCGCTAATGTTCCAATGTTAGGCCGTAAAAAAAGTGTTAGGCTGTAAGAGATGTTAGGCCGTAAGAGGTGGAGGTGTTAGGCCGCAAGAATCGTGATGTCATTTTTCTTTTTTTTATGTAATCAAAGCTCACCTTTTTGCACACTCGTTCGAGGTTGCCGTCTTGCCACCACATCCTTCATTGCACCGAACCACCATCTCCCTTGCTCATCCGAATCCTCTCATAATCGCGATGCAGCAGCTCACCACTCCCCTGCTGCCCCTCCTGGACGCAGCGAGCGTCAAAGACAGCACTTTCCTCTCCGCTGTTGCTCGTATCGCTCCCGTCCTTGTCCCTCAAGACCTCGTTTCGTCGCTTCCTGAGAACATCTCCTACTTGGTCCTCGCCGAACCATCACTCACCTACGAATCCGCGGCAGACCTGCTCGATGCTGGTGCCCAAGCTATCGTCACTTCCGACACCAAGCTCATCGAACAGTTCCATGCATCCATCTCTTCTACCCGCTTCATCTACCTCTCGGCCTCTGGAGCAGCCCCCGTTCCCGAAGTATTGAAGAATGTCGCAGCTGCAATCATCACCCTCCCCGCCGCCTCTGCTATCTCTTCTTCCACCCAACTCATTCGAACCATCGCCGAGTTCCTCCAGACCAAGACCTCGGGCAAATCCCTCTTTGTCCTCCCAACTTCCGGCGTCCCCACCGTTCAAGACGTGAAATCGATCACCAAGCTCACTGCTAGCCTCATCGCCCCTTCCTCCGTTCTCTCCATCGCCGATCAAGGTCAGCAGATCCAAGAAAAGCTTGATGTGGTGGACGCCTTCCTCGCCCCGCTCACTTCTGACCGTACCGACGGCCTTTTTGCTACCACAGTCGTCGCCGCAGCTCTCACCACCTCTCTCGGTTTGGTCTACTCTTCCCCTCTCTCCATCCGAAAGTCGATCATCACCGGTTCCGCCCACTACCAATCCCGAAACCGAGGCTTGTGGCACAAAGGCGAATCATCCGGAGCAACCCAAACCGTCGTGTCCATCCGTCAAGACTGCGATTCGGACGCACTCCAATTCGCCGTCCGTCAATCCCGTGGGACTTCGGCTGCCGGTTTCTGTCACTTGGAAAACCGCGAAGGATGCTTCTCTTCCTCTACTGGTCTAGCTAAACTCGAAGCCACCCTGAGAGACCGTAAGGCGTCGGCTCCGGCGGGAAGCTACACCGCTCGACTGTTCTCCGACCCTTCGCTACTGGGTGCTAAGCTGCGAGAGGAGGCAGCTGAACTCGCAGACGCCAAGAACCAAGACAAGAAACACGTAGCCTTCGAAGCGGCAGATCTTATCTACTTTGCCCTCACCAAGTGCGTCTCTGCTGATATCGGACTCGAAGAGATCGAAGCAAACCTGGATGCCAAGTCCAACAAGGTTTCCCGCCGCAAGGGTGATGCCAAGCCCACCTTCGCTGCTGCTCAGCAAGCGGCCGAATGTAAAGCTGCTCCTCTTGCTGCAACCCTTGCCCCTACTCCTACGGTGAAGGACGCAAGCGCACCAATCAAAATCCAATCCTACAAATACGAACATCTCTCCGCCACCCAACTGAAAGATCTTCTCAAGCGACCTGCACTCCGAACGGAAGCAGTGATGGAAATCTGCAGACCCATCCTCAAGTCCATCAAAACCCGTGGTGACGCTGCGCTTTTGCAGCTCACCGAAAAATTCGACAAGGCTACACTTAGTTCCCCCATGCTCAGGCCTCCTTTCGTTAACGATGAGGTGATGGCAAAGATCAGACCCGAAGTGATCACCGCCATCGACATTGCCTATAACAATATTTACAAATTCCACAAAGCTCAAAAGACTACGTTCGGTAACAAGAAGGCTCCTTCCACCGGAGCAAATCAAGACGATCCCACCCTGCAAGACGGCGAAGATGGAGTGCTGGAAGTGGAAACGATGCCTGGTGTTGTTTGTCGTCGATTCGCACGTCCGATCGAATCTGTCGGTCTCTATGTACCCGGAGGAAGCGCAGTCTTGCCCAGTACAGCGTTGATGCTGGGAATTCCAGCGCAGGTAGCTAGGTGTCCAACCGTTGTCATTGCCACTCCACCTCGAGCTGACGGATCGATCTCGCCTGAGGTGTTATACTGTGCTAGCAAAGTCAATGCTTCAGCGATCCTCTGTGCTGGAGGAGCTCAAGCAGTAGCAGCACTCGCATACGGCACTGAATCTGTTCCGAAGGTGGACAAGATCGTTGGTCCAGGAAATCAATTTGTAACAGCAGCAAAAATGTTGGTTCAAAACGAAACAGATGCTATCGTCTCGATCGATATGCCCGCTGGCCCATCCGAAGTTTTAGTCATCGCAGACTCGACCGCCGATCCTTCCTTTGTTGCCTCGGATCTCTTATCTCAAGCTGAACATGGACCTGATTCGCAAGTCGTTCTCCTTGGCATTTCCCTCACCGACTCGGAACTGGCTGCTATTGAAGCTGAAGTCGACCGCCAAGCCCGAGCTCTGGCACGAGTAGACGTGGTTCGACAAGCCATTGATAAATCCCTCACCCTAATCGTCCCCACTCGGGAAACAGCGATGGAGTGGAGCAACGCCTATGCACCCGAACATCTAATCCTGCAAACGTCCAACCCGGAAGAGCTGGTGAAACTGGTAAAAAACGCTGGTTCCGTCTTTGTCGGTTCCTGGAGCCCAGAAAGTTGCGGAGACTATATGTCAGGGACAAACCACTCGCTCCCAACAGCAGCCTACGCCAAGAGTTACTCAGGAGTTAACGTGGCTACCTTTGAAAAGTGCATCACCAGTCAGACTTTGACAAAGGACGGCTTGAAGGCTTTTGGCAAGAATGTAATCGATTTGGCCATGTGTGAAGGTTTGCAGGCTCATGCTGAGGCCGTGAGGATTCGATTGGCTAAGATGGGTGTTGCCTAAACCACCTTTTATGATGATTATGTATATAGATAGTTTGTTTGATGAATAGTAGTCATTTGCTTACTAGTGCTGATGGACGACACTGTCTACCGACGTGATTCGGCATACGTTCAGCGGCTAAAACACAGATCATGAGTCAACTGGACAAGTTCTTACAGCTACACAACCACACTAGACATCTAAGAGAATGTATAGAAAGAATGAGGGTATTTCGAAAGAGCAGACCAAGAGAGGAAAAGAATGAAAAGTAAAAGAATGTCAAGGCAAGCTACCAACTCGGATTGGGTCTTACTACTGAACGGTGCGCTTCTCATCAAACTCACGCAGAGCGCCAGTAGCTAATGGATGCTCTACAATCGCCATCATGGCCGAAGTGGAAGGAGCATTATATGTCTGTGCCAAGGGATGTCCACCTCTCGCTTGCGGTAGGGCCAATTGATCTTTCTCGTTAAACCTCTCCACGGAAGCATTGGGACTAATAGACCTGACTCTACCACCATCCGTTGGAATCGCTGTCAATCTGCCTTCCGCCACCAAGCCGGCACTGTGGGGAGGAGCAGTCTCGGACAAGGGTTGATCCTGCAAAGTATGTGTCATGCTTGATATTTGCGATACTCTGTCCTGTTCTGCTACCGCCGCTATGCCTGCCGCTGCTGCGGTGGTTGGAGGAGTAGCAGCAGTTCCGTTAGCCCTGGGACCTCTAAAGTAAGATTTGCGACGTTGTTTGAGATGGTCGAAGGGTAAGAAGTTTTCTTCCATCTGTCTCATTTCTGGTGGAAGAGCGTCAAAGTCAGCATTACCGTTGCGCTTCTTGGCCTTCAAAGGATTGTCTTCGAGTAAGAGTTCTTCTAATTCGTGAGTTGCATCGAAATTGGCCTTCTTGCTATCGGGTTCGAAAGGAGGAGGTAGACGTTTGGCTTCCATAGCTGGCCAATCCATACTAGCAAAGCATGGATGCGATTTGAATTCGTCTATACCACTCCTACAGCCCAACCTCTTGCTTGGATCTCGTTGCAAGAGCGACTTGATACATGAAACCGTCTCCCTACTGACAATAGTCTCGACATTGTCGGGAAAGGTACACCTATCATTCAAGATGGAATGTGTCAAGGCCGAGTTGGTTTTGCCTCTAAAGGGCCGTCTGCCGAACAACAACTCATAGGCAAGGACGCCCAAGGACCACCAATCAACGGAACTCAAATAACCCCTCTTGGTCAACACTTCGGGCGCCATGTAGGCCATGCTTCCCGCAATACTGGTGAGAGGTCTACTGGGTGAAAAATGAACGGCAATATTGAAATCCGTCAAATGAGCATGTCCCTTTTCATCCAAAAGCACATTGTCCGGCTTTAAATCCCTATGAACGATCTGCAGTCTATGCAAATAATCCAAGCCGAGTGCCAGCTCTGCTAGGTAAAACCTTACGACCTGTTCGCTCATATTGCGCGTCCTGTCCAAATGAAACCTAAGATCGCCACCAAGCATGAGATCAAGAACCATAAACATGTTTTCATCGTCTTGGAACGCATAACGGAGGTTACAGACGAAAGGCGAATCGATCTCTTCCAGAAGACGTCGTTCTTGGATGATGTTGGATACGGCGCGCATCTTGATGCATTTGGCTTTGTTGATGTATTTGAGAGCATAGAGATCTTTGGTTTGCTTGTGTTGGACGACGCGGACTTTGCCAAAGGCGCCTTTGCCGACAGCGCGAAGAAGGTAGAAGTGGTAGAGATCGACGGGACCGTCAAAGTCTATCACTTCTGGTTTGCAGCAGAGGGCGCCCATTGTGGAGAGGAGAGCGGTCGAGGTCGGGGGTGCGGTCAGAGCGTGAGAGCGATCATCCAGTGCGGCTGGGGGGGGGGGGGGGGGGGGGGGGGTATCTTGATGGGTGGCCTGGATCGAAAGACGCTCGAGCGCAAGGGATTGGAGCGATCAGATGTCTGTCTCCGACATGGATTGCGTATGTATCTCTGCTGGGCTGCTAGGATTTAGGCTGCTAGGAGTTAGGCTGCGGCTGTGTTAAGTCGGACGAGAAGGGACAGAGACGAGGATGACAGTGTAGCGTCCCGCACGATCTGTCCGGAGAGGGAGCCGAGTTGAGAAAGAGTGGCGGCTGTGTGAGGGTGTGTTGCTTGTTGAACAATGTGGGAGCGAGATGTGTGGATGAAAGAAGAAGCAAGATGGTTGTAACCAAGCAACCAAGAGTAGAGGCTATAAAGTGCCATTTGCACACACACAGCGAGGATGGCAATTGTTCAACTGTTAAATTATAAAAGAACACACACTCTCTCTGTCGCCGTCCAAGTGTAAGTGTCTGGTGGGCTATAGCAACCGACGGTCGAGACAGTATTGCGAACCACGGCCAAAGATGAAGAAGCATGACAAATCCGGGATTGAGCAACTACACTCGCCCGAGAATACCGTCCAGATCGCAACACGTGACGCCAGATCGGGCGTGGCACAGCAATAATCGGAAGAAATTGCTCACAAAAGAAAAAGAAAAAGAAAAAGAAAAAGAAAAAGAAAAAGAAAAAGAAAAAGAAAAAGAAAAAGAAAAGAAAAGTTGCTTCCTCACTCGGGCTTGTCGATCAACTCTCGTCACCATCATCACCACATCGTCCCCTCATACTCCTACTGAGCTCGTTCGTTGACACAATGATCAGCGCACCGGCTTCGAAAGCACTGCTTGCACGCACAGCGCTTCGAAGTATTTGCACTACCGCCTCTCACACTCGTCTCGCCTCAGCTATTCTTGTCACCGCTTCCAACCATGGTATCCGTAGCTTCTCTGCCTCTGTCCTACATCGACAAGCCGCTGTAGTCGACACACCCTCCTCCTCCTCCTCCTCTTCCTCCTCCACCACCACTCCTGATTCCACTGCTGACATCGATGACGCACCTATCGAGACCACCAAGACCGACTTTCCCGTCACAACCATGGGTCGCAAGAAACGCAACAAGCAAACCATCACTGGCGACGACAAAGCCAGACTCCTCTTCAAATGGGGCTGGTTTAAACCCGATATGCCCTCCGCCAAGAGATCCTCCTCCCCCAAGGGTAGTAGACGCATAGGCATGCATAAATCGATCCTCACTCATTACCAAGAAGCCAGATCCTTCCGCTCCGCCCGTGCTCGACTTTGGACTCCCACTCTCGAACAAATCCAAGCCTTCGCTAAAACTTCCATCTCCAACCCTGCTACCTGGATTAAGGCACAAATCAAGGCTCGTCGCATATGGCTGCAGCGTTTGGATGCAAAAGCCAAAGCACGCGCGGTAGGAAAAGCGCGAGGAAAGCAGTTCAAGCGGCGAGAAGTACAAGTCGTCAGCCAAGCGAAACTGTGGGATCAGATGGATTATGAACAACAGGTGGATTTTGCTTTACGTCCCATTTGGCGGGCCCTGTCGGAGCAAGAGAAATCGGCTGCTCTTACAAGGTTGAGGTACGAATGCATTCGTAAACTTGGATGGAGACAGGGATATTCCTCAGGCTATCCTCGACCTGAATCCGACTCTTCCCATCTCCCCGCCCAACTGGGCTTGGAAGGTGAACAAGGTTGGGCAGCATTCCGAGCCCTCCAAGCCGCCGAAGAGAAGGAGGCCTGGCAAGCATGGCAGCTTCTCACCCCGGAGCAGAAGGTCGCCGAAGAAAAATCAGCATGGACACTCCGCGATCGATCCCAAATCTACCTCGATGACTCGGATGACTCTTTCATCCTCGCCTCTCCCGCTCCTCGCTGGTACCGCGTCCCTGAACGTGCTGGCGAATTGACCTTTTTGCCCAACACGATCGTCAAGTTGGTCAAAAACCACGTTCCAGAGGGCAAAGAATACGATCCATTCAAAGCAACCTTTCGCGTCCCCCTGTCAATGCATAAACACGCACTCCGTTCCTACCTGCTTTCCATCTACGGTCTTAAAACCACCTGGGCTCGCTCTTCCATCTACCGATCCCCCGTAACTCGAGATGGCCGAACGGGTAAAGTCATCTCTGGTAAAGGTCGCACCTATAAAAAGGTCGAAGTTGGCTTGCTGGAACCCTTTTTATTCCCAGAGATCTCTCCCGAGTTCCAGAAACAACACCTTCTTACATCCGAACTCGATTATGAAAGGTCGAGAGTATACCTCAAGATGACTAAAACCACACGATGGAGAGGTAAAAAGTCCACGGAACAGTACGAAGAGGAGATTGCCAACAAAGATGCTGCCTCCTATCACAACCTCGATCCACTATCCTCAGAGGGGATCAAGGGCGATCAGAAAGCGGATGGAGAAAGATTCCCAAGGTTTATGGTGAAAACTAAGGGTTTGCCCACTGCCAAACATGGAAAGATCCTGCAGTTGTTGAGTCAAGAGAAGAAGAAGAAAGAGGAGAGGATCGAAGAAATGATCCGCAAGTTTAAGCAAGAAGTTGCCGCTGCTAACAACATTAGTGCATAGTTTCCACTCGCAAACCTATCCATCTTCAACTCTTCTGGAATAGCATGATTGCATAGCAGAGAGTGGCTTAGACGACGTTTTGACATGTCAGCTTTCGGACGAGCTGGTGAACAATCTCTTCCGTAGTAGTCTCTCGTTCAACTTTGACCACTACAACACCAGGTTCTTTGGCCTCTTGCGGTTTCTGCAATGTATCCAACTGAGAATAGAGCATGTCTAGTTTCATAAAGTGTCCTTTCCTATGCCTCATTCTTTCCTCCAACAATTCTCGGCTGAGATCTAAATAGATATGTATCACGCTCAAATCCTTTGGAAGGTCTGCTACTGCTTCGGATCCTGTCGCTCTTTGATCATGCAAACTCTTGATCGTGCCCCTCAGCAATCTCCTGTAGATCAATTTCAAAGAAGAACAAGCGATGATCGCCATGTTCTTCTTTCCACTTTTACCCTCCTGCGCAGCGACGGCGGAAGGGTTAGACGAGCAAGCCGAACGTGTACACGTCGATTCAGCTGCACATTGATCGGCACAAGTAGTCGTCTGTTGCGATGTCTCATACACCTCTGCCAACTTCTTCACTCCTTCCCTCTCCGATACTGAGCAAGAGGCAGAGCAAGAGCGGGAAGACTGGCAAGTCGCTAGTTCCACACCCGTTTCTCGGATTTTCACAAGCCATGGCTCCCGATCGCTATCCTCCAAAGCTTGCCCTCGTGACATCTTTTCAATGTTGCAAGCAGGGTGAAGATCGTCGCCGTCGACGAAAGGGCAGGAGAGAGCGGTGGATAGGGCAGATCCAACGGTGGATTTACCGCTGCCGGAGACGCCCATTACGATGAGCAACGTCGGTGTTGAAGTCGACTTTGACGACATCTTGAACTATCTTTGCTTCCGTGTGGAGAGAAAGGAAAACTGGTGCTGGGATACGCTTCGTGAGGTCTCGTAGATGATGTGAGAAGAAGAGCACAAATAGGAGAGGATGACGAGTGGCATAAGGCTTCCTCACGCCTGGGCACTTTCTCGTGCGAATTGCCACTTTCTCGTGCGAATACATGCCGCACGAGAGAGTTCGAATCGCTATCGTTGCTCTCTATGGCAGCCTCCAGATCCTCCTTCCCACAATGCACTTTGTTACTCCATTACAACGTACATATAGCCTGCGCATGTAACATAGGGAGAGACTTATGAACCAAATGGTCGCAAAAATTCCAGCAGTCGAGAGCACGCCTGGCAGTAGAGTTCGGTCCGATGATCCGTCCAGCCTGATATGCTCTAACCATCCCTTGTCTTTGGTGATATTTCCGGAAAGCATACCGCAACATGACAATCGTCAGCTTCCGTTCCGTGCCAATCTGCATCTCAACTCAAAGCAGCGTCTTGGTGCAGTTCATGCTCTTGACGAGAGCAATCTCAAAAGCTTGTGCTCGAGACTGAAGAAAAGGGTATCATTGCAAAGAAAACAAATTCAACGAATGCATTGTCGCTGCTGCGTTAGAGTTAGCCATCATCATCGCTCACAACGCCACTCTGTCTACCCTGCCGCGCCTCTGCCGCATGATGATGATCAGTATCATGCTGCTGTCCCACACGACACTTTGTCAGACTTGGCGCTAAAACTCTCGCCAACGCCTTGGCCTGAGCATACAAGCCTGACCACAGTTTGGCTTCCCATTCTTCCTCCACCCCTGCACCAATACACGCAGGTGTTGACTTGCCCGATCCTGTCTCCCTATCACTACTCCTCGGCAGCAGCTGTGATGATGTTGAATGTGGCCCACCCGGGCCAGTCGGAAGATGATCTGAAATGGGTGATCTACTCGGAGTAGCCGTATTATCGCTCCTCGTCGACGTAGGTGTTGTACCACCGGACTTGAGTCTTGACCTCGCCGGCTTGTTCGCCGGGTTGTTCGCGGAGGGTGCTGCTGTAGAACAAGCCAATGCTGGGCTGGGTGTGGCATTTGGTGTTGAAGCACTCTTGGGCAGTTGTTGCACCGGAGCAGGGTCAAGCGAGGCGTTTAGGGTGAGCAACATAAACGCTTTCTGTTGATCCATCCCAGAGTAGGCCTGCGATTCATCGCCATGCTCTCCCTCCATCGCCGCCATCTCACTCCTGGATTGGTTTAGCGTCGGAGCAGCCGGAACGATCGGCATAACCAGCATCCTGCCCAAATCACTCTCCAGCAACAAGGGTACGAGTTCTGGACTGCTCCCTTTGCTGCTTGCCATTCCTGTCACAGTATGTTTTGCAAGACCGACCCAAGTTCCAGCGATAAGGACGTTGCTTGCTCCCCTGCTTCCTTTCCTTTGCGGGCTGTCCTCGGTAGCTTGGCGCCAAGCAGCAACAGCCATCGCACTCAAGCATGCCGCCCTCTCATCCAACGTTAAAGGCGCTGAATTCCCTAAACATATCCCGTTGTGAGCGGAAGCGGGCGGAGGAGCGGTACCAGTAGCTGCAGCAGTACTTGCCAGAATAGAAGCTACAGCAGATCTGGGCGGAGGAGAATGGACAAGACGTGTAGCGACTGCATAGAGTTCGGATGATTCGAGAAGCGTTAGGATGGCAGTGTGAGGTCGTACCGTGTCGGTATTGTGGTTGGAGTCGTTGATAAGCTGGTTGAGAAGCGACGTGATCGCTGCTGGTTGCAGCATCTTTGCTCTGTCTCCCTTCAGCTTCTTTACTGTTGGGATACGGTATGAGAGAGGCTATGCGAGCAGCTTATCGAGACAAGGAGAGAAGCGAGCTATGCCTGGGTTCGCGAATCAGTTCATGTAGGTTGCAGAGACTCTTCCAAGTGGCTCGTGCGCTTCTGCTGCTCCTCCTTTCCATGTGGAGTTCCCGCGTGAGATATTTATCGTGCGAATGGATCCATGCGCGTGTTTCAATGGTGTGCCAAGGGGCAAGTGGCCAACGCTGGCTCGAGTTAGTGTGTGAACGGGGAGATTTAACATTCCTTTCCCCTTTTATTTTATCTGCTTTTAACCGCGGCTCGATGGGCAGACAGTGTCCAGTTGGGCTCAGCTAGAAAGGAACCAGTAAGGCTTGAAGGCACCTTGCCATCCCCTCACCACCACTTGTTCGCTCCTTTACTTTCCTTGGTCACGATTCCAGGCAGGCGTCTCTGGTTCGGACAGCAGCCGTGCGTCGTCGGCATCTCGGTCACTCTCTTAGTCATGAATCGGTGAAGCGGAAAGCCATCAAGTCGTAGTTTTTAGACGGGTATACACACCGCAAGACATAGCAACCGCTGCTCTTTCCCACTACTACCTCTCATCCGTGATGAACTCGATTACCTACCTCGACTCGGTGCTAAGCCGCTCCTTGGCACCAGCCACCGCCGACCGTCAAGAATCACGCGCTTCCTCTTCCAGCAAGCGGTCTCGTTCCCACTCATCCTTGCCAGGCAGTCGCAGAGCATCTAGCACTTCGCCCTCCTGCACTTTACCCACCAGCACTTCACCCTCCAGCACTCCTTCCGGCTCTTGCTCCCTCCGCCGCTGGTCCCAAGAGCAGCAAGATGACCCTCATCAATCCATGTACAACTCCACCCTTCGGCGGACTGGTAGTACCTCTGCTGGTCTCTTTCCCTCTTCTTCCTCCCACGCACTCGATACAGACCACAGCAATTCCGCAGCACGATGGTCCCGCCTGTGGGGGTTAGCAGGCTGGATCGATGAAGCCATCCACCCAGCCTCACGCAGTCGATCTCGGAAAAACAGCGATTCGGAAATCTCTTCTCTTGGTCGCACTAAACGCGTGCCCAGCCTGGATGACCTGCTGCTCAGCTCTACTGCACCTCGAAGCGATCAAGATAGAAGGCCCGCAAGTTCAGGTTCAGGACACGCTCATTTACCGCGTCAAGATGCGAGCAGTACAGATGAGTCTGCTTCACAAATCAGGCGTTCCAGATCGTCAAGACGTCAATCAAGGTTTAATCAGAGTGCATCGCTCATACTTACCTCGACAACGACCGACGGTCCGGGGGAAAACATCGATACCTGGCCAACAGAGCAGGACCATTTGCACAGGCACCACCAAGATCCTGAGTTGATGACGGACAAGGAGAGGGAAGATGTAGTCGAGTTCGATGGGGGGGATTTCGCTCCTGAACAAGTGGACACGCCGAGGGAGAGGACGATTTCGCAATCGAGCAACCATAGTAATTGCGCTGAGCGAAGCAGTGCTCCTTCGCACCAAGCTGCCACCTCCGCTTCACACTCGCCCAAATTCACTGCGGAGAAAGTCGAAGATCAAGATGCGAACATGTCGCAAGATCAGGCTGTCGATTCAGAAACGCTGCTTGAAGCGGCTAAAGGTGAACCAGAAGCGATTGAGGCCGTAGCTCAGCAAGATCCAATTTCACAACTCGTCGATCCAGCTGCGCCCATTGCTACACCAAAGAAAGAATCGCTTAACGGCGATGCAGGAGTAGAGCATGCTGATGATACGCCCAAAAGCAGCCATCGAAACGGTCTCAAGATGTCAGATTCCACTGCTTCTGGAATGTCCACTCCTTCTGCCTCTCGCAGGTCGTCACTTGGTCGTAAGCGGGATGAGCTGTTGGCTGTGGATTCCCTAGCTTCTTCTTCAAGCTCATCGCTTGTGTCGACGGATTCGGAGAAAGCGGTTGACAGGAGTCTTACGCCTGGGTCAAAGCCTAGGCGACGTCGGTCTGGACGATCATCGGCCAAAGCATCAGAGACCGACGATTCACGTTCTCGATTCAGCAGTAATGGCGACCACAACAAGCCAGCAGCGAAGCCTAGTCGGAAACGCAAAAGCTCCTCCACCAAACGTGCCATCCGTCGAACGCTCGTTGCAATCCGAGACCTTCTCCTCGCAGTCCTCCTCTGTCCGATCAATTGCCTGCGGTACCTTCGTCGACGTAAAGTCATTCGAACCCAGGAGGCGGTGGAGGCGATATACCAACGTTCTTCGCTCCCCGTTCTCGAAAAGAACCCAGTCTCTGGAGAAGAGAGGAATGGTAAACCGCCTTCACTCCGGTTCAAGTCCGACTCTAAGCTCTCCGATAACGAAAAGCGTGCTTTAGTTGGAATGGGTAGACCACCAACTCCCAAATCGATCTCAGAAGTGGATAACGAACCTGTGAGAGATGAACAAGCAGCAGAATTAGGCCTCTTATGGAAAGCCCTCTCCCCTTCCTCTGGTCAACGTCGTACAGCTTCTCGCTTGCTGCCTAATCCACAAATCGTCGATCCGATGTTAGCAAACAATAGCAAAGCAAAACCAATCGATCCAGTTGCAGCCGAAAAGGAAGCAATGATGGAGGCGGAAAGACAAAGTAGGATTGCAAAAGGTAGAGCTATGCGTGCTGCTGCTAAATCCGGTCAGGACGGCAACTCTACTTGCACTTGCCACCTTTCAGCTTCGGTTATTCCTGCTAAAGTTGCACGAGGACCAGCTGCGAGTAGCATCATCCATCACTCTCCCAAAATCCTGGTTTTGGACTTGGACGAAACTCTGATCCACTCAACCTCGCGCTCCCCCTCGCATCACTCTGCACTGTCAGGCAGAACGACAACTTCTGGCTTCCTCGGACTGGAAACAGCGGGAGCATTCCTGGGATTGCGAGCAAACGATAACCCTCGCCGCATCCGTCCACATATGGTGGAAGTTGTTCTTGATGGACGTTCTGTCCTTTACCATGTCTACAAACGGCCGTGGGCAGATTACTTTTTGCGAAAAGTAAGCTCCTGGTACACAGTCGTCATCTTTACTGCTAGCGTACAAGAATACGCAGATCCGGTCATCGATTGGTTAGATCAGGGAAGAGGCTTGATAAGCGCAAGGTTGTTTAGGGAAAGCTGCAGCTTTAAAGGTGCAAGTTATGTGAAAAATTTAAAAGTCGTCGATCAAGATCTGAGTAAGGTTTGTCTCGTCGATAACAGTCCGGCAAGTTATAGGTTGCAAAGGGAGAATGCAATTCCTATCGAAGGTTGGACACATGATCCCAATGATGAAGCTTTATTGGATTTACTGCCAGTCTTGGATAGTTTGAGGTTTGCAAGTGATGTGAGGCATGTTTTGGGTATTAGAGCTTGGTCATCTTGATAAGTAAGACAGATGTCTGATTGCAATCTATACTAGCGCTCATGTTGAGCTCCTTGGCTTTTTCCTTCTCAATGGCCTGTGTAGAGGGTTTCAAGGTTCAACAAACACGAGTGAGAAGAGATGGTTCAGGATACGACTGACCTTGTATTGAGAGCAGAAAGTAGACTATGATTGAGTAGTGTCCATTACAGCATATCAAAGCATCTAAGACGATCAAGCGAAGGAGAGGATGAGAAGATTACTTCTTGAAAGAAAACGGATTCTTCAATCGCTTTTTCTCCTTACTTCTCTGGCTCAAATCCGAACCATGACTTGGAGATGCACTTGAACTTCTACCATTGCCATCTTGCAGCATATGTTGCGGGAGACTTGACTTGTGCTGTCCCTGCTGCTGATGCTGATGTGGTTGTGGAGTAGGAGCACTTTGAAAGCTCCTATCATAAGCGCTCTGATCAACACTGGGTGCGGAAGCATATCCACTATGATGCTCTCCTCCGTTCACTTGTGCATTTGTCGGATAGGCTCCATGTTGCAACGAGGCACTCCGAATTGCACTTGTATCGTTTACCGGTTTCACGAGTAGGTTGGCGCCTGCTGGTAACGCTCCTCTCTCCCCTCCTTCCCCTCTGCCACCCTGATGATGAGGTTGTGAAGAGTGATGATTACGTTGAACGGCCTCCCTTGCGCTCGCCTTACCGAAATGTTTCATCACCTCTACAAAACTTTGCGGAGTGAAGACATGCGAACTTCCAATATACACATCTTTGCCCAACCTTTCACTCAACTGATAAACACTTCTTGTTTCGCTATACGTCGTTCCACCGGCCACAAAGACCAATACTCTCTGCCTATTCTCTGCTCTCTCCTGCGCCACATTGCTTGCTCCTCTCTGTGCTTTTTGGTGCCAGGTCGGTTTAGCACTTCGTAAGCTGCTCGGTTGGGTTCGACCTGTTGGTGCGCCTGTGTTGTTGGTTGAAGTTGCACTGCCCAAGCCGACTCTAGCTAATGCTGATGTTTGCACGGGTAGCGATAAGCCACCGCTTGTTTGTTCTGGTGGAGCATCCCTTACGTAAGGAAACTGCGATTGTTCAAGCTTGCCAGCAAAATGATCCTCGACCATCAACTTGACCAACGGTTGATATCGCGAAAGTTCGAACTCGTTCTCCCCCGGCTGCTGTTTCCTCTTGCCTTTCTTAAAGAAAGCATCCCAACCACTAGTGGGATCCTTGACAACCTGAGTTCCCAAATGGACCAAATTATCCACCGCCTCCATCTCCCACCTCCCCAACCTGGCATGCTGAAACAACCTCTTCCGATCCTCATCTGGCACGCCGTCACAATACATGATATACAAGGCGATGATCCTAACCTTATCGGTATTACTAACACCTCTATCATCCAACAAGGGAACCATCTCTTCCACCAACGTTTTCGGCTTCTGCCCCTCGGGAGTTAGCCTGGTTGCGCAGTTCTGTTCCACCATCGCCTGTGCTGCAAGTTTCGACTTTTGGAACCTATTCATGCAATCCTGCGCCATGGTCAAATGGAGTGAAAGTTTCTCTTTCATCTCTTGCATATGTGGGAGGGAAGCCAACATGTCGCGCATGTCGTTGAGAGAGGAGTTGGCGTCTGCAAATGCACCTTGTTCCCCCGCATGCTGCTTGAAATCCCTCGTCAACTTATCAATGGCTTCTGCGATGTGAAGATGTCGAATGCCAACCCAAACATTGTCTTGATCGGACAAGACTGCCTCTTTCTCCTCCTTGTCTCCATCGGCGGTATAAAAGGTATAATGATACCTCGTCCCATCCTCGATCGGCAAAAGATCATTCACCATCGCCTGATAGGAGAACTCGTGCAAGAAGGGTGCAACCGTATCCATACTCCGATCGGTAATGAAAAGCACACTTCTTGGTCGAGTTGCTTCCAGCTTGGGCTCGTTATCCTTGACATACTGATCTATCGCCTTCTGAACGCTCAAGGCGAGCTTCTTTGTAAAATGTTCTCCCATCCAACTACCCTCGGCGCCGGCACCAGCAATGCCCGAGTCGGCATTGTTGCCTCTTAACCTTGCCATTCTCGCACTACCCTGATACATGTTGGCAGCAGCAGTTTGCGATTTCACCGCATCTTTCGAGGGCTGCAGTGGGCCCAGTGGCGGATGAGATGGATTATAGTACCTTATCAACGGAAACTCGTTCAACTGAACACAAACGTTCAAGATGGCCTGTGCGGAAAACTGCAATTCCTCCTCGAGGGCTCTCATCGCCTCGATCGGATCGGGCCCATACAAGCCGCCCACCGGTTGAAAGAGATTGAGAAAGCTCTGTGGAGATTTCAACGAAAACGCCTGCGCTTCGGTTGGCCAAAAGTTGGTATAGAGCTCAAGCAACTGTCTCAACTTGGGCTCTGCGGGGGAGGAGGTGAGTTTGTGAACGAGAGCATCAGAGAGAGAATCGACGAAGAAAATGTGTCCTGCTGAATAGGTCGGTTGTTCGCCAGCTTCGGGGGCAAGATCACGGATGATTCGATCGACGTTTTGAGCGGTGGGTGTCAGGAGATAGCATGCTTCGAGGCTAGGTTGGGCAGGACGGGCGAGTTGGATGTTGTCTACTTGAGCGACGTTTTCTTGGAGAATATCGTACATTTTCAGGACGGAATTGAGGAGTTCTTTAGTGAAAGAGTCGATGACGAGAACTTTCCACCGGGAAGGGGGTTGGACGGAACGGATGGTGGTGAGATAACGCTCTCGGAGGGTGGTGACCAGGGATTTTGGCGGCATGTTGGCGAAAAAGCAAAAGCACCCTCAGACGGGCACCTTGAACGGCAGGTCGGATGCGGATGGACCAAGACAGCCTAGGAGCTGGTGAGCTGCACTTGGATGAGATCGCTGCTACGAACAGCGATGCGATGGTTAACCCCAAGGCGCGGCTTGATCGTCAAGAAGGATTACGAGGATGGTGTCGAGTGCAAGGGGTTGGTGGTGGGGGGGAGGGTGTGTGTTACTTGAGCTTCAAAGTGTGTGTGTAACAGCGTGGGCACTGGATGAAAAGAAACTCCTCAATTGGCCCGTGCGAGCGAGGATCGAAATCAGAACGGCCAAACCTCCACAACTGGGCTAGCTGTGTTAGATCTCAGAAACACACACAACCAGGCATTGCAGTGAGGCATTGCAGCAGTGCCGATCACAAATCTCACTTTCCCAGCCTCACTCACACGGCCGTACAGATGAGGGTCAGTCGGACGATAGACAATCAGTGTTAGATTGCGGATCAGCGAGATCCACCGTGTCACGTGCAACATGAATTCTACACGTGACTCAGATCCGCCGGAATGAACAGACAGAATGAACGGTCTGAGCGCGAGCAGACGAGTCTGCCTCTCTCTCTCTCTCTTCCAACACCAATCGCATAGATCAGCCCTTAGCCATCTACTAGGACGATATCAGCCTTACTGTTCATGTCGTTTTTTGGCTTTGACGTCTCCCTCCCCGGTGACAAGCGTGCCGGAGGAGGAGCAGGCGCAGGCGCAGGCGCAGGCGCAGGCGCAGGCGGCAGCAATCGCAATCGCAATCGCAATCGCAATCGCAGCGCCGATTACTCTTCGCAAAACGCATTCGACCCTACTTTCGACAACGAAGAATCCCTCGATGCCAAGATCAAAGCTCTCGCCGCTGGGGCTCAGGAAGATGTAGAGATCTACACTTGGGGCCAGGAAGGTTACGATGGTCTCGGAGACAAGCTCGATGAATCGGGTGATGATTTGAACCAAGATACTTTTGGCGATGTTGATGTGGGCAAGGACTTTGATTTTGGTCATCGCGCTTCTGCTCAGCAACAGCAGCAGTACTCTCAGCAGCATGCGCCCAAGAGCAAGTTCGACCCGTCTAACAAGTTCGCTGCCAGTCTCGATGATTTCCTTGTCGATCCTGTTCCTCGGTTTGGTGCTGGTCGTGGTGCTCAGCAGCAGCAGCAAGCTCCTCGTACTCAGCCAAAGACACTCGAGCAAGTGGAAGCAGAGATGCTTGCTATGCGTGGTAAGCAGCAACAACAGCCTCACGGTCCTCCTCCTACCGACCACAAGCCCATGACAGTTGAAGAGGTCGAAGCTGAACTTCGTGCTCGACCTACAGCTGGTCCTGGCGCTGCTCCTCCCGGTCAGCAACCCATGGGTCCACCTCCGCCCACCATGGCTGCCATCCTTCAATCTCAACAGCGCACCGACTCCCGTGATGGCCAGCAACAGCAGCAATTCCCTTCTTCCGGCCCTCTCCCCGCCGGCATCCCATCCATGCCTCCTCCACCATCCGGTCCCATCCCTCCCCCTCTCCCTCCCAACGCTGACCCTGCCGCCATCCAAGCAGCCCAACAAGCCGCCAACGTCGCCCACTTGGCCCGCATGCGTTCTCTCCTCGAAGCCATGCCCCCTCTCGTCCAACAATCCGTCCTCTCCCTCCCCCCTCCCATGCAATTCGATTCTCTCGAATCCGTCGCCGCCAACTTCCCCACCCTTCTCGACCCCTCCTCCCGCGATCGTGCCCCTTCCGCCGAACAAGACGCGGTCCGATTCATGATGGAAAAAGCTCAACACCAGATGGCCGAATTCGAACGTGTCGAAGCTAAACGCAAACGCAGGATGGAGAAAATCAACTCGATGGCCAAATACAACGGCCTTATGAGTGGAAGCGACAAAGATTTCATCACTAGGATTCAGATTTCGCAGTTGATCACTGCCGATCCATATGCGGATGATTTCTATGCGCATATCTACTTTGCGCTTCGTGGTGGTCCGAGGAGACCGGGCTTGGCTCCTCTCCCTCCCCCCACCGCCGCCGCCGCCGCCGCCGCTGCTGCTGCTTCTGCTGCTGCTGGTGGTGGTGGTGGTGCGGGAAACGGAAGTGGTAAAGGTGGAAAAGGGAAACAGAAGTTGAACAAGCAACAAAACGCAATGCTTCGTATGCAACAGCAAGTCGAACGAATCGTACAGAGCCGTAAGGAGAGGATGGAGAAGAGCGCTAGTGGTGCTGCGTTGGAAGGTGCTTTGGGAAGAGTTAGTCTCAGTTCAACAAAGAATCCGAGACAGATGTTGCAGATTTCCGCGGATGCTGCCAAAGCGAACAAGGAGAAGAATGGAAGTGGTGCGAGTACTCCGGATGCAGGACATGCAAGGGATGCGGTTAGACAGGCGTTGGAGGGAGCTAGTTTGGGTGGAAACGGTAATGCGGATCTTCGACGCGATCCTCTTACTAAGCACGAGGTGTTGCGTATTCTGGAGAAGCTGTACGATTTGGTCTTGCAACTGGAACAATTGAGGAGGAACACGCCACCTGCACCCCCCGCAGAGGTCGATCCGCAAGACGAAACCGCATCAGCCGCAAAAGAAGCTTACGACTTGCATCAGCTCGAACAAGCTTCGATCACCTCGACACTTTGGACCGAGTGGAGGGTGCTGGAGCCTTTGGAAATTTCCGACCCTCACCCTTTCGTTTCGCTACTCTCCTCTGCTAAGGGTAAACGACTTCTTCCTCGCGCACTTCGACACTTATCTTCCGAACAGACCCTCACCGCTCTAACCATGGTTGTTGCAAGTTTCGAATCTCTGGATGTCGTCCGCGATGGACCTCTACTCGACGACCTTTCCGACGACTCAAGCAAGATCGAACGTCGTCGAGATGCCGAACGACAATCGGAAACATTTGCAACGACGATCGTGCCCTCTATGATGCAAATGGCATCCACCGCTCCCATGCGTATCGTTTCGGGCATGCTAGCCCTGTTTGTGGAACGCAACGATCCCGTTCGAGTCAGTCAAACGCGCCCTGGAGTTGCGTTCCTGACCATCTTCCTTTCCCGTGCTGAAACTCTAAAACAAACGGGAGAAGTGGCCGCAGAGGAACTGGAACAGTTCCAACAGATCTTCGCGCTGCTCTTCTCCCGACTTACTGCCCAGGGGAAACTTACTACGCTTTTCACAAGTACGAGAAGCAAACTGACACTTCCATTCGGTGTTGCTTACTACATGGGTAGCGGGTTGGGCCAACAAGTAAGTGCGCAGACGGTTGGTGGCAAATATAGGAATGTCGATTTGGAAGATGAGCCTTGCTGGAACCTTATGGCTGCACTTGCGGTGAGTTCTACGATGGAACAGCAACAGGTTTTGGTGCAAGAGTTGAGGGATAAGATTTTGGAAAATGTAATCAGCGCCAAGCAGTCGCAGAAGCGTAGTGGTGCAATGGCATCAGCTCCAGGTGGCGTAGCCGAGCAAGTGGATATTAGGATCAGAAATGTCAATCTCTTGTTGCATGCTCTTAATTTGGATGCTGCCCAGATCAGCGTTTGACTTTTCCTCCCCGGACTATCAGCAGGAGCAAGGGAGCAAGGGAGCAAGGGAGCAAGGGAGCAAGGGAGCAAGGGAGCAAGGGAGCAAGGGAGCAAGGGAGCAAGGGAGCAAGGGAGCAAGGGAGCAAGGGAGGAGGTGGTTAGGAACTGTTCACATATCAAATCGCACAGCTCACTTGCCCGAGCATGTGTTTTCTGTCTTTCATCTCTTTAGTTGAAATCAAACTCGTTAATGCTCGTTGACTTGAACGCTTTAGTTGAAGTAGATAAAGCTACACAAAGCGTAGAGACAGTGAAGGTAGTGCTTACGGCCGAGTAAAAGGCCTGAGCATCTTAGCACGGACCACATGTGTCACAACCTACTCAAGACAAATGCTTTGTTATGTTCCGCAGTCAATGCGGCTCTCTGCCGCTCTTCTTTTGTATATATATAGACTCCTCGCTCTCTCGCTCTCTCTCTCTTACTATCATCATCAAAAAAACGCCTCAACTCCAACTACTGACAAATGACTCCAACTGATTAAGAGTCTGATACTCAATGCAATGCCGCCATCGACAAGAGCTGGACAGACGGGAAGGGGTGATGATGATCAAGCAACCACAAGCAATGGACAGGAGGAAGGATGGCTCATGCAGGTAGTCAGGATCCTCCAGCTGGCAAACCCAGCACTAACGGCCGAGGAAGCAATCATGCGAGCTATGGGCCTCATCAGCATTAGCAACCAGACCCCGCGCAGGGAGACCGAGAAGATCCCCAAGGAGGTGTCAAGCGCCATTGCGCACATCAAAAAGCTCAGCGACAGCAACTGGCACACTTGGGAACCTACCTTCATTGACTGCCTCCAAAGAGTACATAATGCGAAGGAGATACTGTATGGCACGGTGGCGCCTGGAAACAAGGAATACGACGAAGACTTGGATAAAGCCCTCGTGGGTCTCATCCACGCCTGCTGCGACAACAGTCCAGACAGCCGTATCGACACCTACACCATCAGGGGAGCGGATGAAGAAGTCCAGCTCGGCAGCACACTCTATGCCAAACTCAAGAAGGCACTAACACTGAATGACGCTGTAAAGCGAGCAGGACTGCAGGATCGTATTCACACAGTGCGCTTGCACAATCGAGACATTGTCAGGCTAGGCAAGGAACTCGATTCGATCTGGAACGACGCGGCACGCCTGGGAAAGCGTTTCGATGAGGACCTCAAGAAATCAACTCTCTATCGCTGCACAGCCCAAGATTGGTTCTATGCCAACGCCATCGATGCACTGAAGATGGCCAGACCAGACTGTAAGTATGATGAAGCCTACCACACACTCGCCAAGAAACAGCAGGATGGTGAGGTCACTGGCCGTATTAGAGGAGCAGCAAGGGTTGCCACAAGCATGGAACAGGGGAGCACCAACCAGGCGGAGCAAGGACCCAGGGGCAGGTGCGATCCTCGCAACCCCTCGGCCCCCCCAAAGTGCTATGCTTGTGGAGGACCTAATCACATTGCTCGGAACTGCACGAACACCAACAATAACCCCGCACCGAGTAGGGACGGACCCACCACCAATCCAGCACAAGAAGCGAGTCGGTAGGAACTCGGGTGCACCCTCCTAGTGATCGGCAGGGATGAGCAACCAACATCGGACACCTGGATCGTCGATTCGGGTGCAACGCACCACATGGTGAATGATGAAAGAATGCTGCTCACCTCGACGCGCAAGGACGGTCAGATCTGTATGGCTGGAAATGAAAGGCTTCAAGTGAAGGCCATAGGAGACGCCTCCCTTCGGGTTGGCGATGTAACCATTCAGCTATTGGATGTGCTCTACGTGCCGAAACTTAATTCTAATTTATTATCAGTACAAGGCTTGATCGAGAATGGTGCACGGGTAACTTTCGATGAGTTTGGAACCATCATTAAGCAAAATGATGGCACACAAATACAATACAAGAGGAACAGAAGAAAAGGGCGGTTCGAAGTACAGGGAAAGGCACTAGCCCTGGAGTTGGAAGAGACACTCAACGACATCCCAGAGGGCAACCAGAACACAGGAAAACTAGATAATGCCCCAGAGGGCAATAAGGACACGAAGCATCAAGACAGCTACCTATGGCATGAGAGGTTCGGACACCCAGGACGAGACAAAATGAGACAAATCCAGGCTCATTACCTAGGTACCGACGAGGAAATGGAACATGAGTCGAAGCACTGTAACGTGTGCAGCCAAGGAAAACAGACTTGAGCACGGATGGGCCAATCAGAGTCAGAAAGAATGGAGGCACCATTAGAGCTGGTACACGTAGACCTGATGACAGATTTCAAAGGACATGCCAACTACCACTATGCACTAGTTGCTGTGGACAACTTCTCCTCTCTGATCTATGTGGAACCACTCTGCACAAAGAGTGCCGCACTCACGGCGCTGAGGAGGTGGATAGCCAGGATGGAACGGGCAACAGACAGGAAACTCAAAACACTCCGCAGCGACAATGGAGGAGAATGGTGCAGCATAGCAGCCGAAGACTGGCAAACTCAAGAGGGTTTCAAGTGGCAAAAGAGCATCCCGGGGATCAGCGTCCAAAATGGACGGGTGGAGAGAGCAATCAGGTTGGTCCAAGAAAAGATGCGCTTGATGCTGATTGGTCGAGCTTGCCCCAGAGAGTTGTGGCCGTATGCAATCACAGCAGCAGCACATGTGATGAACCTTATCCCATCAGCCACCAAAACCATCCCCCACGAGGCCTTTTATGGAACCACTGCACACAAGCTGGCCCAGCAGCTGCGAGTCTTCGGATGCTTGGCATGGGTTCATGTTCAACAGAAGGACCAGCAAGGCAAGTATGGGGCTAGAGCAAAGCCAGCCATCATGATTGGGTATGACGACGAACACAAAGCATGGAAGTTTTGCAACCCGGACCAGCTGTCATGGGCCTGGATGCTCAAGAAGCAGGAGGGTCATGGATTCATATGGAAGGAGCACAGGTATCGAAGATCTAGTCGAGATCAGTAGAGAGCAGGGTCGTAGTGCAGTCTCCATGGAGACCATGGACTCCTATGGACTCATATGCAAAGGAGGGCCAAGCACAGCCACGAGGAGGACCAAGCTCAAGGAGCAGGCACAGCCACGAAGAGGACCAAGCTCAAGGAGTATGCAGATGGTTACCACTCAGGGGCTCGAGAGACAAGAGCCAAAGGAACTGTCACTGATCAAAGGAGAAGGAGCAGTGTCAAAGGAGTCGACACCAGGTCATGAGGAGGAGGAGCAGTGTCGAAGGAGTCGACACAACTCAAGAGGCACAGGGGTGCCAAGCAGGAGAGGCCCCTGAGCAGTACTCGATGAAGAAGGTACTCTCTGGAGAGAGAGCAGGAGCAGCATCGCTGGCGATGCTGAGAAGAGGTATATAACCATGCTTTCTCATCATCAATAGGTCAAGTGGATCCTCATCCACTCTACTCACCATAACTAGTTATCACTTCAGCATAAGTATATATTAGTTTCAGTCAGCATAGCAGCAATCCATCAAAGGTTGCTCCTCATCGTAGTGTGTGTGTTGTATCACCACTACCTGACGTCCGAAGGCGCCCATAGCAGGTTAGCGGTCCGGATATAGATAGAACCGAAGGCAGTAGTCCACTGCGGTCCGGGGATCACTTCAAGCATCAAGTCAACACACTGGACACTCGTGTTGACGCCACCAACCTTATCACCAACACCATCAACCTCATTATCATCGACATCACCAATCTCATCACCAATACCATCAACCTCATCATCATCAACACTCACACCAGACCTTGGTGTCATCATAACGTTGATATTGATCGTGCCGAGCTACCCCTGAACGGAGTGTCCACAGAGGTCAGCCGAAACCTACGATAGTATATCCAACGAACGCCACCTGCTGTCACTGCGCAACTTGATAGTCACCGAGTATCTCGACAGACCGACCTGGGTTTCAGGCGCGAGACCCCTGACACCAGCCTGCGTCAATTCAATGGAGCAACTCAGCAACGTTCCATGAGGACAAAGGATGGAGTGATCGCCAACAAGAGGCAGTCAGGCCCGTGGTGACTGTGGAGGTCGAGGAGGAGGGTGTCATGCCAGCCATAGTGGAGGAGGAGACCAAATCAGAGGCCGCAGTGGAGGATCTCCTACCAGCCGTAGACAGCACAGTAGGCGCCGCCAACACAGCAATACTGAACCTGGACCCAACGCTTGGGGAAGCAATGAACGGTGAGGACGCCCAGCTCTGGAAGGAGGCAATATGAAAGGAGCTAGAAGGACTCGAGGCAATGGGAACTTGGGAGGTGGTGCACCAACCGCCAGGAGTACCACTTGTGGACTCTAAGGTTGTGCTTCGGCTGAAGCTTGACGCTGATGGTGTACCTGTTAAGCACAAGGCGCAACTGGTTGCAAGGGGCTTCACACAGAGAGAGGGGATCGACTACCAAGAAACCTTCTCTCCAGTAGCACCCCTCGGAGCGATCAGAGCCATCTTAGCACTAGCAGTGCAGAACAACTGGGAGGTACATGCTCTGGACATCACTATGGCTTACTTGAACTCCACGTTAAAGGAAGCAATCTACATGAAGCCACCAGAAGGATCAGGAGTAGCACCTGGCAAGGTGTACAAGGTAGTCAAGGGTCTATATGGCCTAAAGCAGTCTGGGCGAGAATGGAATCAGGAGTTTGACAGGTCTTTGCGACGCATGGGATTCTTCCAGGTAGAGTGTGCTCCCTGCATCTACACCAAGGGACAGGGTGAAGATATGGCCATTGTGGTCATCTACGTCGATGATACATTAGTCATAGCACCACGGCTGGAAATGGTCCTAAAGGTTAAGAAGCAGATTGGTCAGAGATGGAAGATGGAAGATAGCGGTGAGGTCTCTCACTTCCTGGGCATCAAAATCAGTCGAGACTGTGCGATGCGCACCATGACGATTGGTCAGTCAGGGTACATTGACCAAGTGCTGGCAAAGCACCTGGACTAACATACGAAGCCGACCATGGTTCCAATGCAGAGCATACCAGAGGGAACCCTTGTCGCAAGTGCAGCACAACAGAAGGAGTATCCGGTGATTGTTGGCAAGCTGCTCTGGGTTGCCAACAGCACCCGGCCCAACCTTAGCCTTACCGTGGGTGTTCTCGCTAGGCACATGCATGAACCATCACAGGAGCATTATCAGGCAGCACAAAGGGTCTTATGCTACCTCGAAAGCACAAGGCAGGTTGGATTGGTTTATAGGGCAAGTGAGTCGCAAGAGCCACTGGTCGCGCACAGCGATGCAAACTGGGCGAGCGATGCCACCATACAGAGAAGGAGTACATCGGGGTCAGTGGCATTAGTGTACGGGAATCCAGTAGCCTGGAAGTCAGCGACACAAAAATGCATGTCATTGTCCGCTGTCGAGGCAGAGTTCATTGCAGCCACAGAAGCAACACATGAGGTGCTCTTCCTCAAGCAGCTGCTATGCTCAATTGGCATTGCCACAGGCACACCGATGGTCTACTCGGACAACACTGGTTGCATACAGGTTAGTAAGGACCCAGCACAGCACTGGAAGCTTAAGCACATTGACACCAAGTATCACTTCGTCCGTAACAACGTCCAAGAGGGAAGGGTGCAGATCAAGTATGTAGACACCACAAGAAACTTGGCAGACATACTCACAAAGCCCATTGGGAGACAGGCAATGCAGCAAGCAAGATCTGGGCTACACCTGCAAATACCGGCAGCAGTGTACGAAACGGGGTCCCCAAGCTATGCGACAGTGTTGAAGAACGGAGGTCACACCTTGAAACAACAGCATAATGAACAGGGTACATATACTGTTGAGGGGGGGAGTTGAAGTAGATAAAGCTACACAAAGCATAGAGACAGTGAAGGTAGTGCTTATGGCTGAGTAAAAGGCCTGAGCATCTTAGCACGGACCACATGTGTCACAACCTACTCAAGACAAATGCTTTGTTATGTTCCGCAGTCAATGCGGCTCTCTGCTGCTCTTCTTTTGTATATATATAGACTCCTCGCTCTCTCGCTCTCTCTCTCTTACTATCATCATCAAAAAAACGCCTCAACTCCAACTACTGACAAATGACTCCAACTGCTTTAACGTATATGGTTGCAGGCTGTCTTTCCAACGACAAGAAGCTTGTTGACATTTCTAAAACAGATGCCATGAGTCTTGTATAATTCTCAGCATCTTCTTTATACATGGGTAACCTGCATGATACCATTCGAAAGCCCCTATTGGAAATGTAAATATGATCTATACAACCCAACCACGTTCAACTATCACTGTTCCATCAGCGGTTAAAGATGCAAGGGCCAAAATAGTCTCTGTTCGTTCGACTGCCATTGTTCAGATTGAAGTTGATACTCCTCCCATTGTGAACGTTGGAGTAGAGGACCTAGAGTTTGGAGGGTAGCATGTGTTGTTCCGAACTCGGCTTGCGTTACTACTGAGACACTGTTCATTATCTCGGGAGATTTTGTGAGTGGGTGGATGGCTATGGAACGTACTAAGAGTGCATGTGCTTTATGGACGAGTTGCCATCTGTTATGACTTTCGATAGCAGAAGTAGGCTCGAGTGAAGCAAGTTGCGAAGGTGTGTATTTGCATTTGATTCGCTTCCAAACTACGTCGCAGTCTGTGTGCGCCTGGTTGGAGTTAAGAGCTGAGTTGCGGATAGAGTGTGTTGCTTCATCGCTTGAGGAGCAAGTGTTGGTGGAGTTAGCTGACGCTTCGACTTCAGAGCTAGCTAAAGCACAACGAGTGTCTGTGTTGAGAGTGATAGCTTCTTGGCTCGGCTCCAATCGAGCTTTCTTGCGTGGCCCATGTTGCTCTTCATCAGGCAAGCCATAATGCAGGAGAAAAGCAAGCTTTGTATTCCTATCCTCGACCTGCATTACACCAGGCTTTCCTTTTCCCTCGACCGGCTTCCTCCTCCCTTCTCCCTTATCACGATACATGGTTTCAGCTTGCAACCTCTCCACCTCCTGATCGTAGTATCCTTGACAATCAACATGGCTAACGACGAGATTCTCGGGCACTTTTCCCGCATATGGCGATTTCCCTTGTTCCGCTGTCTCCAATGTTGGTTGTGCTGGTCTTAATAGCGAAGATGGTGTCTGGTCTCTCTTTCTCTTGATCCCTTTCTCCATCTCTACTGTAGTTAGATCGAGACTTGCTCCTCCATGCGGCAAACGCAAACCCGAACCCGCAGAAGCAAAGAGGCAAGAAGAGGAGCCCTGCATCTTGCCCATCGCTTCGCCGTCCTGAACGCAGATCAGCTCGCGCTGAGCAGCTCGTTGACGAGCCTTGAGAAAGTTGTCTACGTTCTCAGCTTGGCGTTCGAGTCGAACCTTTGCGCGCCTGATTGCGTTGCGTCTTTTTGTGCGGTTGGTGCCCAAGCCGGGCGGGACTAGGTTCTGCTCTTGCTGTGAGCTGTGTGTGTTGGCATGGAAACCGTTTCGATCTGTTACAGTGTGATGCTCAGACGGAGCTGAGTGGGACGAGTGGATTGAATCCGATCCTGTATCGCTGCTTGAGGAAGAGGTGCTGCTGGAGCAAGAGTCCGAGTCGGAGCTAGAAGCAGAGCTGGAGTTGGAGCTGCTGGAAGAAGAGCAAGAGCCAGAGCCAGAGCCAGAGCCAGAGCAAGAGCAAGAAGAAGACGGTTCTGAGCGAGCTCTCTTCCTGGAAGGTCCCGGGAGAGCGTTTCGTATTGGTGGTTGAAGTTGCATTTGTTTGCGTCTCGTTTCGAAAGCTGCTAATGCTGCTGCTGCTCCTCCTCCTCCTCCTCCAACGCCGCTTGGTGGAGGCATTGGTATTGCTGACATTGTTGGAAACGATGGTAGAACTTTCGCAAGCTTAGATGGCCCCAGGCAAGAAGAATTGGGCATCCGAGGCAAATCATCAACCTGTCCCAGCCTCGCCTTGGTCACTACCTCTTCATCCTCTTGAGCAATACTCTGCATCCCAACACCAAGTATAGCTGCAATACGCTTAGCTTCTAGCACTGCTTCCCTTTCTTCTGCATCTAGCCCTTCCCCCTCCTCCTCCTCTTCCTCCTCCTCCTCCTCCTCCTCCTCTTCCTCCTCCTCCTCCTCCTCTTCCTCCTCCTCTGCTTCGCCACCCTGATCAGCATGATCTCCTCCCTCACAAACCCTTCTAATCGACTGAGGATTGAGATGAACGTCAACCAAATCACCATCCCTCAAAAGCTCCGGATCATCAAATGGCACCTCGAAAGTATCCATCATAAATACCAACTGCTCGTTCCGCCACCGCTCCATTCCCGCACCCTCACCACCTCTGGATTTCAAATGAGAGTATACAGAGCGCTGCAGCTTCTGGAAAGCATGGGAACCATCATCGTAATTGAACGGCGCAAGGAAATGCAGTTCGGGAAGCGGGGATTTGGTGACGATTCGAAGACGGATCTTGCGGGATAGAGAAGGATCTGACATTCTTGCTTTATTTTTTCTCCTCTGATACTGGGTGGTGTTGGGAAAGGAGGTGATGTGTGGTGCAAGTGCAAGTGCAATGGGATGGTGGTGGTAGGTTTGGAAGGGAGTTGGATTGCACCCTGAACTACTTTCTTCCATTTGGAGGGGGGGGGGAGGGTTGCCGAAAGGGTACAGCACAGCGCGATGGCGACGGGAAAAGGTCTATTGACAGACTTTGATGGAAGAGATCTTGTTCGTTAACGACGACCACCTTGAACCGGGCACCTTGCACATCGCTTTCCTCTTCCATACCCTTGGCAACGTCTCCTCTCTACATCAGCTGCCGAAGTACAACCCGACCCCAGCGGTAGCACAATCCATCACCGCCGTCGTCCGCAAATATGCAACCCAACACCTCCACCCTCCCCTCCTCCTCTTCAACCGCATCCCCATCTCCGGAATGGCTGAAATCAATAGACGCTGTCTACACGCTCTTCGAAGACCCCGTTGTCTCGAAAAAGTTCCCATCACTATCGACCAAAGTAGCTGCTGCCGTTCGGCTCTGTGAAATCGTAATCAGCCAAGTAGGTCAACAACACTGTGCGCTCTCATTTAACGGTGGCAAAGATTGCACTGTTCTAGTCCACATTCTCTCCTCCGTTCTGCGTCGACTCAACTGTTCCGCATCATCTGCATCATCAGATTCCTCTTGTTTGTTGCCTTCGATACCTTCGCTTTACATAGCTTGTCCTTCTCCCTTTAGGACAGTGGAAAAGTTTATTGCATTCTGTACGTCGCCAGTACATGGCTATAATTTGAACCTTGTTTCTGTCCAAGGCGATATGAAACAAGCTATACGTACCTATCTCGATGGTGGAGGATCACAGTGCCTCGGTTTACAAACACAAACAAATGACAGACTCCAGAAGCCAAGAGACATCAGAGCTATCTTCGTAGGAACAAGAAGAGACGATCCACATGGTCCACAACTATCTGCTCGTTCATGGACAGATAAGGACTGGCCGAAAATTGAACGTATCCATCCGATCCTCGATTGGACGTATTCAGATGTATGGCAATTCCTCCGTTGTCCTCATTTAGGCACTGCTCAAGAAACTTACTCGGGCTCAGGTGTAACAAGGGAGCAGTTGGCGAAAGAATACGGTGTAGCTGGAGGTGCAAGCCAAGGTGTACCTTATTGTTTGTTATACGATCAAGGATACACCTCACTGGGAAGTACATTCAACACCTTACCCAATCCCCAACTAAGAATCGAAACGGAGCAAGGAGAGCAAGAGGTAGAGGTGGCTGATGGAACAGCCAGAGGCAGATGGAAACCTGCCTACATGCTCAAAGATGCAACTCTCGAACGTGCAGGACGTGTCGAGAATGTACAACACGCCAAGCCATCAGAAACATAGACACTGCAATGCAACCAAGTAAAGATGATCCCATCAACAAGACGACATATGATTGACCGCAACTGAGAGGCAAGAAGCGCGGTTTAGAGCCTATCTTGGCTTTCATTGCCAACACGTCGAGCTAGATCCCAGTAGCCTTGCATACCAGCATGACCTAGAAGCTCACGTGCCTTTTCGTCGGTAGGGGCTGAGACAGCTCGAAAGCCTCTTGCTTGCCAAACTCTCTCCCGGATGGGGCCTTCAAAGATGAGTTGGCAAAAGTTGCTACTCCAATCGATCTTCTCTTGGCTTGTGGATAGGCTTCTAAACCCTGCCTGTGCGCCGCCTAATGGAGTATTGTTCGAATTGCGGCCATCTTGCCCACCAGCACCCTTAGCCTCATCCCCCGCATCCTCGTCCCCTGAGCCATCCTTGAGAGGCTCACCAGGATCGCTCCAATCAATCCTAACACACATCAACCTTTTATACGCCTTGATCGCCTTGCCGCTGCCCTCCACCACGACAACCGCCATATCCCTTGCAAAAACACAAACGCCTGTCATGCCATGATCCTGAGCGTTCCTGCTGACCTTAAACTTGTGTCTCCCCGAAACCAAATGCTTGATCTTAAACACGGCGCAATAGAGTCCCTTTTGTTGTTCTTTCTCCTTGCTTCTCTCTATCTTTTCTCTCCGTTCTTCGTCGGTTAGTTTCTTTTCTGCATTCTGTCGTTCGTGCGCTTCTTTACGCGCTGCTATCTCCCTCCTCACCCGCGCTTCGACTTTGGTTGGATCGGACACGGCTTCGGAAGTCAAGACCCGCATAAGGTTAGATAGCTTAACCTTAGGCGGGTCTTGCGGAACGAGACCCATTTTGATTCGATCTCGTTTGTCAGACTGTTCTGCAGCTCGACGTTGACGTCGTAGTTTACGCTGTTCTTTTTTGGTTAGGATGAGTCCTTTTGGTTTCACCTCGAATTTGTCCGATGGTGCTGCGATGGGGATTGGATGCTGAACGTAGTGATCGATCGGAGAACCTTTGCCCCAGAGTAGCATCCCATTCCCTTCTACTTTGGCATCCTCCAGCATATCCTCGATACTTTTTTCAATGGGAATAGGAGAATAGGAGCGAGAAGCAACAAGATTTACATCCCACCATTCAATATCTGGTGGTTGACCACGCAGCAACCGCTTCTCGTCTCCTGCTTCGATGCCTTCTGCAGCAGCAGCCTTACGAGCAGATTCTTCAATTCGACGTTTGATCTCTTTGAGTTGTTGTTCGTGCCGGAGCTCTTCTGCTTCTCGAATGTGTCGGCCTGGTTTGTGGAATTGGAATGCTTTGTGGAGGGAGCGTTGTTTGGGTGCCGAGGTGGAAGCGGTCCTGGAGAGTTCAGAGGCTGCTTGACGTGAGGCTTGGAGGTAAGGGTTCAGTTCCGGGGCGATCCAACGGGATTTGACATAGGATGAGGAGGTGCTGCTGCTGCTGGATGCGGCGGTGGAAGTGGAGGGGGCGGCAAGCGAATTAGATAAAAGCAGGGGATGGATTGCTGTTGGTGCCTTGGACAAGGAGGCTGAGGGTGTTGTTGCAGTGGAGGTGGAAGTTGCAGTGGAGGTGGAAGCAGACTTGTTTCTGGCTTGTAAAGCAGCCATTTGAGCCTGAACTTTTGCACGAGCTGCTTCTAGTTGTGCTTGGATACTAGTTGCTCCTGCTCCTGATCCAGATCCAGATCCAGATCCAGCTACCGATCTTGCTGTAGCACTACTTGCTTGTCCTACTGTCGGAGCGCCATTACTATCCGCGTTCACGGGAACAAAATCCCTCCGCGCTGCTGGTCTGGCCGGCATGGATGACGACAGAGCCGGTGCAGCCGCGGCGTTGCTGTTCTGCATCGCACTCATCAACGCCTGAGCTCTTGCTTTAGCTACCGCCACCTGAGCTTGGATACTCTTATCTCCTCCTGATCCTGCATTCTGTGCTACTGGTGGAGGAGCGATAGCAGCCCGATGTATCGCAGTCGGGCGGGATTCAAAACGAGGCTTTTTCGGTGGTGTGCCGCCAGTAGGGGCGTTGTTGCAAGATGGATCCTCATCATCGTCTTCAAAGACGTTGCGGATGCGTCGTTTCGACGGCATACTTTCAGCCAGACTTGAGCTCGAGGCGAAAGAGAGGGAAAGAGGAATGAGTAGATGAGGTGAGAAGTTATGATGGTACGAATCTCAAAAAGCGGAACTGAGCATCTCTTCTAATATATTTTCGGAATTCGGACAGGGTCTGCTGCACGTGACATGGCGTGCGCATCTCAGCTGGTTCACACGCGTCGCAAGCCACGCAATTGTTTTCCCACCTTCCCGAACCTCGCTGATCCGCAATCTAACATTGCTTCTCTATCGTCCGACAGATTCATCTGTACGGCCGTGTGAGTCAGGCTGGGATTGGCCTCGACACCAACACTCACTGACTTGGTACGAACTTGCCCATGTGGATGCTTTCGAAGCTTCTCAACCCAAACTGCTCGAACCTTGAACCTGGCCCAAATCGTGAGACCACGGAGATCGCAGAGGGCAACATTCACGACTACAGAGATCAAGACAGATAGATTGGAGAGCAAGCAAGTTTTGGTTGCCAGTAAGTGTCATCTCCTTTGATCCTAGCTATGGCTCGCCTAGTTAGGCTGGCTAACGTCATTCATAATCGCTAATCGACTCTTCCCCAACGGAGTAGCGGCGCCACTATGATAATCCAACGACACCTGGCACCATCTGTCCTGCAACCAGGTCACACTCCAAGTGCCTTCCACGGCTGCCCAAATACTATAGCTCTCGTGCAAAATGCCACTGACCGTTTTTGTCTCCAACACCTTGGGCTTTGCATGTCTATCCACCGGCTCAGTCCTCTGATACGTAAAACTAAACGGCGGAATGCCTTTCAAACTGAAAATGATCTCTGCCTGGTTCCCTTGCCTTAGATCCTGCACAAAATGATTGCCCTCTGAAATTCGGACTGTGGGAAGATCGTGGATGGTTTTCACCATGTCTTGGGAGAAACGAGGGTTGATATCTCGTCGACACTGGTTTTGTTGATGAGCGACGGATTTGATGGTGAGAATGCCAGCTTTTTCGGCAACGCGGGAGAATTGCGCTTTTGAAACGGCGGCTTGCGCTGTTTTGCCGTTGAAATCGTATGAGACTGTCCAGGGGGGACTGCCTTGAAGGGAAAACTCGACCAGCTCGCCAATGCAGTAGTCTTGGCGGGTGGAAACAGCAGAAATGTCGGCAGTTTCAGCAACTTGCACTATCAGCGCTCTCTCCTCTTGTCCGGGACGTTTGCTTTCCTGGATGCGGGCGGATTGACAGTTGTGAGCATCCGTCACCTGGACAACTCGGATAGAATAAAGACCTTTGGTGTGGAATGCGAATTCGTCGTGGGATAGGTCGAGCTTGTATGAGTTGGATTTGATGCCGCTTCGTGTGAATCGATATGTGCCGGTACCTGAAGCAGCAGCAGAGGAGCTCGAAGTGGAGACTACCTCAAAGGTGACCGTGAACGGCGCTTGACCTTGCAGTTTGAGCACAGGTAGGCTTTCAAGTCGATCAAGCCCATCACCGACACAGAGGGAAGGTGGGTTGCGTTTGGATGCTGTGCTTGCAAACGCAGCGCTGGGAAGTGGGAAAACCATCTGCTCGAGCCTGCTTGGTGATTCAGTCGTAAACTCCTGCAGGCGGGAGGGAGGATAGACAGCATCACCAACAGTATTGAGGATGTACGTGTGCCAGCCAGGCAAAGCGGTCGAGAGTTCGAGGTTGGTCGTGTTGAGAGCCGAGGTGAAAGCTGTCTTTCTTCGTTTACCGTGCAGAGCGACTTGGTGGGCTGCAGATGCAAGTGCAGCAGAAGCTTCGGGTTCGCTGCTTGCACTCCACGACGGTGCCATGTGTTCGTACTCCACATCCACTGGGAAGTGACCGGACATGACAATGTCCACCGAATCAGGTTGACCGCGACACACGGGTGCACGCACAAGGCTGCCATTTCGAGCAAGCATACCAGCATCGTTTGCGAACTGAACGTGAGGCTGAGGACGAACGCTGACCCTGTAGTCTTGCTGCCCCTCCAGCACGATACCAGGACAGTAGTTGTCTCGGATCCGTTGGATCTTGTACAGACCTGCATGCTCGGCCATGAGTTCAGCATCGACATTATTGAGCGATGCAGTGAGATGCACTTCCTCTGCCGACTCGTGCGCTTTGTACGAGTAGTCAACATTCCAAGGGCCCTGTCCACTAAGACGAAGGGGAAGACGAGCTGCTTTTCCGGAAAGCACCTCAACATGACGATCCTTATCCGCTTTGATGGGCAAGAATCCGACACTCGGCTGAACCCGTCGGACCTCGACATTGAGATCACGAGTAGCTAGCGATTTCTCGCAACCTCTAGCATCGCGGATCTTGACCAGACTGACTGTCACCAATCCACCCGAAGCAGCAACGGATTTGGGAATATCGATCTTGAGCTTGTGCGGAGACTCGGTGATACCTTGAACGACCTTGGTTTCCACTCGATCGCCGGCACGGACCGCATAGGTGAGATCCCATGGCCCGGCACCACTCAACCTGACATCCGCCTCAGCCTGCTTGCCACTACAGCTCTGCATCACCGCTCGATCATCATGAACTCGAATCGGGGCTGTGAACTCAGCACTGGACAATGGGTGGAAGACCTGGGTGAACGAGGGTCCATCAAGTGGAATGTTGCGGTAGTTGCTATCGTGAAGCTCGACAAACTTGTACGTGACCGCACCATCGACGTCCGGTCGGAAATCGAGTTGGTCACGAGTCTGATCGAAAATGGTTCTCGTCTTTCGTTCGGTATGACGACCTTGTTTGGTGACTTGGTACTGGAGCTGGAAGGGTGGGGTGCCTGTGAGGACGGACATGGCTTTGAGGCCGACAGGACCGGCACATCGGTCTTGGATGCTGCTGAAGTTGATCTGAGCCGTGGGGGGAGGTACATCGACAACCTCGCATGTCCAAGGCGATCCCACTTGGCCACTACAGTAGGGCCCGGAAATGTCGTCAATGCGATAGGTACCTGGCTTTTCGATGGTCAGAGGCACTTTGGAGCTGTGAGCAGGCAGAGTGAGCTGCATCGTCGATGCGGAAGCGACATGACGTGCCCAGAGACCCTTTCCAGCAGCGCTGTTGTCAGGCTGGAAAGAGAGGCTGACATTCCAATCACCAACCTGTTCGGCGTCCAGGGGAGACTGTATGGTGAGATCGATGCCCTTGACATTTCGCAACAGTGGAAGAGGGTGACCAGGTCGACACTGTCTTGGGTCAAAAGCGACAGTCCGGCGCGGGTGAACAACAACCGACTGCTGGTAGGTAGCGGTATGTTGGCTCTCGCCCTTGACCTTCTTGCGTGCCTTTTGCGCAAGGGAAAGACGAGCAAAAGGGTCTGCATGAAGAGCAACCTTGTTACCACAGGCGTCAGTAACGCTCTCAAGGACATAGGTGTAGTTGCCAGGCTGTTCGAGATCGACGCTGCTGAGTGGCATGTCGACGTCGACTGACTTGGCCCATGAGAAGTCTTCAGAGCCTGCGTCGTTGCGACGAGAAGCAGCACGTGTACGCTCACGTGCAAGTGCCAGTCGTTCTGCTGGTGAGAGCAGCGCTTCTGCTTCAGGCAGGAGGAGGGGCGAAGTGTGGTGAGGCGGTGAGATGCGAGAAATCTTAAGAAGTTTGTCTTCTTGTCGTGATGAGTGCCTGTGTCGACTTGTAGAGCCGAGGGGAGATAGGGGCTCGTAGACGCGGCGATACTCGAGCTGGAGAGGTGCGACACCACTGACTTGAGCGGCAAAGTCGGCTCGATCACGGGGACACTTGTGTTGCAGTTGAGGTGGGTCCATCAAGCGGGCTGCAGTGGATGCTGCAGCGATGAGCCGTGCCGAAGGGCACTGGACGACAAGCGCTTCCGAGGTGGAGATGCGAGCATCGTTGTGAGAGTTGTCAAGAACACGCTCCAGGCGGATGCGGCCCGGCTGGGTGATGGGAAGATGCCACAAGAGCTGCTGAGCGTTGGGATTGGATTGGATGCCTTTCGACTTTGGCGTATCGAGGCCGGCTGTACGTTTGCCCAGGGATTGAGCTCGACGTTGAGCGCGGATACGGACACGCTCTGCGTACGAGACACGAGGAAGCAAGGAAGTTGGATCGTCGAGAGCGTCCTCGTCATCAAGAAGAACGTTCTGGCGACTGCGCGCCTTTGTCGAAGGTGTGCTTGCGGCAACAGAGATGGCACTGAGCTCATCTGATTCGCGATCGGCACTCGATGGGCCAAAGGGGATCAGATTGTCGACGCTGACGTTGAAATAGCTGGATTGACCTGAAGCAAAGTCGGTGATCGAGTACTGAAGCAGATCAGGCTGTGCATTGCTGAAGAGCACAGGAAGCGTGACTTGCGGAGTGTCTCGACCGACGCAATAGCATGCACTTGATGGCAAGAGCTTCGCTGTGCTATGCGGAAGGATGTGAATAGTGTGCTGGCCGAGGATATGGCTCTTTGGCTGGATGAGATCACGGATGCGAACCTGTCCTTCGTTGATGGAGAGCTGTCGGCTTAGCGGGTCAGGAAAGAGAGCTGCTGTGGGTAAGCTGAGGCCAAACATGGATGTTAAGACATGAAGGACGCTGAGCAAGCCATTGAGGATCAAGATGAGCGGGTTGACAGAAGCGTCGCCAAGAAGAGTTGCGTCGACGAAAGAAAGAGTAGCAAAGATGGCGAGGTAGTGGACGTAGGTGAGGCCAACTTTTTTGGCTGGCTGTAACACTGCCTTTTGTGCATCGTTGCTGGATGCTGTTGTTGGTTTAGAAGCAAGACGCGGATCGAGCAATGGGATGCCGAGACGTGAAAGGATGAAGAGGAGGGAAAAGTTGATCAAGACTGCTGTTGATAATGAGACTGATGCTGAGTTGCTTTGCAGTGATATTGTTGATGCTATCGCTGATGGTGATGATGATGATGATGATGATGAGAATAGGATCTTGGTATACTTCCAAGCCTGGACGAGGCTAGCGATGCTGACAGCGTAGAAGCGTTGAGAGGGCGCATCGATCGTGGAGAAGGAGATCAATGGCTGGACAGTATTGGGTGGAGCTGGCTGAGCCAGAGCAAGAGGCTTCTCCTCGTCCGGCATGCTGTTCCACTTGTACGGAGCGTGCGTCAGAGGTTGCTCTGGTTGTGAGCTCAAGCGATCATGGAAAGTGGAGGGCGCGTGACAGGCACCTTGACTTGTGTTGAGCGAGTTGGCTTCCTGACAGCGCGTCGGAGAGGAGAAGGATGGCCTACTAGCTGCTGCCGCCTTTTGGCCTGACCGAAGCGATTGTCACGGGAGTCTAGGTTGATGATGAGTGAGTAGCGGAAGAAAGAGACAAGTGACAACAAGTAGCTCCACCTCGAGACATTTCTGATGTTCTTCTTTTTCAAGGTCTCTTCCGACTTCCGAACTTTTGTTTTTCAAGAAAAAAGGAAAAAAAGAAGAAAAAGAAAAAGAAAAAGAAAAAAAGGACAAGAAAAGGACGAGAAAATTAGAGCCAGCAATCTTGACAGACCTTGCGCACGGCAAAGAAGGAATTTTGTGGGATCGAGTTGTCAAGGCTTTGTCAGCAGACTTGTCGGAGCCGAGAATGAGAGAGAAAGAAGCGAAAATCGTGTGATTATACAGAAAATGACTGCAACTTTTTCGGCGGATGGACCCTGATTTTTAGAGAACGCGCAACCGATTGCCGGCTAAAAACACTATATTGCTGAAAATGACAATCCAACGAGGCAGTGAAGAATGATGCAGAGCCGATCTGATCAAAGATCAGATAGGGCCGATTCACTTGAATTACCAATCCAATGGAAGATTAAGCCAAGTCAATCTAAGGAGAGATTGGGTGCAACACTGTCCCACTTGTTGTCATGACAGATCATGAGATAGTAGTAATCCCACACTAGGCAAGTGCCACTCACATGTATATATACTTCACAGAGAGCACTAGGCTCTCACCATGTTCACTAGTCAATTGAGTATATTTGTTTCTGTCTTTTAGCAGCAGTGACATCATACTTAGACTATCCCCAATCACCAGTATTGGGACCCAAACAACTTCAACTTTCATCAGGTTATGAGCCCAATAAGCTGATATACTATCATCACACTATCAGTAACATCAACAAGAGGTTTTGCCACCAATATGTCAGATCTGAACTATTCAAACTATGAAGACTTTGTCAAAGCCATACAGAATCTTCTGCCATGATTGCCAAAGATCCTCCAAAACCAGTTCAATTGGGAAATCACAAATGCTACCTATGGCACTCCTACCACCCCAAAAGATGGCCTACTACTGAGGTTTGCCATGGAAGAAGGTACCAGGGAGCAAATCATCTCACCTCTATCCATCCTGATTGAGTGTACCAGTAACCTCTATCAAGCAATGCACAGCCTTGGTCCATTTGCTAGTGTAATCGAACTCAGTAGAGGGATGTGAGCTAGAGTGATTCTCTTCCTAGCCAACAAAGGTTGGGATGCCAATCATATACTTGACCTCAAAATCAAAGGTGCAGTCAAGGTCATCCAAAATGCTGAGCAATTTGATCACCCAGTTAAGAGTGAAGCACCAATGTTAGCTAGAGGCGACACTCCCGCTCTAGGCTTAGATGTGATCAACCATCACCTCGCTGGTCATGAAGCTATGCTGGGACCTACACCAGAGCTCAGCACACTCACAAACCATCACCTCAAGGTACTTACAGGCCTCAATGACAGAATGAAGTGGGACAAATGAGACCTTCTCAACCCAAGGGCAGTCTCCGTGCATGTTTGGCAATGCAAAATATTCACCTTGCTGTTGGTCGTTCCTTTTGCACGAAATGTTCTCGACCAAAAAGTGGTGACCTTTGAAGACACTGATTCTATGCTTAGCTCGATCATCATGCATAGCTTTTCAAACAAGTTGCACACAGAGTATTTTGCCAAGCATGGTGATCAACTGATACTGATCGCTGTAAATCTATTCGAATGGGCACTAAACAAGTGTAAGGCATACTCTGCTGCTAAGGAGTACGAGCTCCACGGGATCACCTATGGGTTATGCTGGGACCAGATTGGAAGTCATGCCTATGATTTCCTAACCAAATGGGAGGCTCACGTATCCGAACTTCATATGTACCTGCAGGAACCTTGGATGCCAAACAATCACTACAGGACACTCAAGCATGCCTTACCTTCAGACAAGAATGTGCTATTTAACTCAGTGTTTATATTGCATGAAAAACTAAATGGAAAGGATCAAACAGCCGAAAGTGTAGCTGATGTCCTAAGTCAGTGCTATGAGCTCACCACCAAGAGTGTGCCTGTGCATCTGTCCCCTATGGCTGAGGTGTCTGAACTTACTGCATTGCAAGCAGCCACTTTGATTAACTGCTGGGCTTGCAGGAACCTTGGGCACATGGCCAACCGATGCCCAGACACTGAAGCCCACACATGATGGAAGCAAGGAAAGATCAAGGCAACACCCAAAGGCCATGCAAATGCCTGCATTGTGTTACCCATAGAAGGTAACCAGGACAACTAGGATGCAGTGCTGGTTTTAGCTTTCTTTACCAAGGTTAAACCAGCACTGATTGACTTACCTCCCCAGTTCATTCCCTTTGTATTCAATTCAGGAGCATCCTGCATTATGGTCAACTCTTCTCAACATGGGAAAGGTTGGAAGGATGTGGAGAACTCCATCAGCATTACCACTGCTGATGGAGGACAACTGATTGCCACCAAGATGGGTGGCACAGTCAGCCTCCTGAGCTTCAGTCCTCAGAAGCAACAATGGGAATGAATGATCTACAAAGACTGTTTGCTTGTACCTGGCCTTGTGACAAACCTTATTGGCACGAAATCGGTGACACATGCACAAGGAAAAGTGACTTTTGAGAAAGAAGTCATAACAGTACAGGATAAGGATGGACATGCAGTTGGTGTGTCAACAAGTGGAGACGGTTACCCCACTGTTGCCATGATGATATGGGATGACAGCATGCCAGAGCCTGCTGTTTCCCTCACTTTCACATCCAGGATGGTGAATGCAACCCACTCCTATGGAACATGTAATAAAGCAAACCTCTGGCACCAGCAATTGGGCCATGCCAGTCATGACGCCATCATGCGGACACGTACAGTGTGTCAGGGGTCTCGCGCCTGAAACCCAGGTCGGTCTGTCGAGATACTCGGTGACTATCAAACTGTGTGACAGCTATTGTCTTGGTATCTGTCTTGATGAGCTAGTCATTTGGCAACTATCAAGTTGCGCAGTGACAGTGGGTGGCATTCGTTGTATATACTATCATAGGTTTTGGCTGACCTCTGTGGACACTCCGTTCAGGGGTAGCTCGGCACAATCAATATCAATGCATAGGTTATGTTGACACCAGGGTCTGGTGTGAGTGTTGATGATGATGAGGTTGATGGTGTTGGTAATAAGGTTGGTGAATGTCGATGATAATGAGGTTGGTGGTGTTGGTGGTGTCAACATGAGTGTCCAGTGTGTTGACTGATGCTTGAGGTGATCCCCAGACCACAGTGGACTACTGCCTTCGGTTCTATCTATATCCAGACCGCTAACCTGCTATGGGGTGCCTTCAGACATCAGGTAGTGGTGATACAACACACACACTACGATGAGGAGCAACCTTGATAGATTGCTGCTATGCTGACTGAAAACTAATGAGTACTTATGTTTCTAAAGTATTAACTAGTTGTATGGTGAGTAGAGTGGATGAGGATCCACTCGACCTTTGATGATGAGAAAGCATGGTTATATACCTCTTCACAGCATCGCCAGCGATGCTGCTCCTGCTCTCTCTCCAGAGAGTACCTTCTTCATCGAGTACTGTTCAGGGGGCCTCTCCTGCTTGCTTGGCACCCCTGTGCCTCTTGAGCTGTGTCGACTCCTTCGACACTGCTCCTCCTCCTTGCTGTCCTGCTTGCTTGGCACCCTTGTGCCTCCTGAGTGGTGTCGACTCCTTCGACACTGCTCCTCCTCCTCCGGACCTGGTGTTGACTCCTTCGACTCTTGTCTCTCGAGCCCCTGAGTGGTAACCTTCTGCATGCTCCTTGAGCTTGGTCCTCCTCGTGGCTGTGCCTGGCCCTCCTCGCATATGGCTCGATCCTCCTTTGCATGTGAGTCCATAGGAGTCCATGGTCTCCATGGAGACTGCACTATGACCATGCTCTCTAATGGTATTGACTAGATCTTCGATACTTGTGCTCCTTCCATATGAACCAGTGACCCTCCTGCTTCTTGAGCATTCAGGCCCATGACACAGTGACCCTTTCACATGATATCCCATTGAACGCTGCCACCGAGCCTGAAACACCATGTGACATATGCATGCATAGCAAAGCAACAGCAAAGAACACTGCTCACCCCAGGCAATTAGGGACACCACTTGAGTTAGTTTCAATGGACATAATGGGCCCACTTCATGGCAATGCGAAATTTGTATACATACTCATTATACATGATGCATTTTCAGGCATGATCTGGGTATGGGGTCTAACAAGCAAGAAGGAGGCATCTCAAGAAGCTGCATGGTGGCTATCGGAGATGCACATTGCCACACATAAGGAACCATCAGAGGTGATCATTGACCAAGGAATCAAGGAGGTCTGGGTTGATCAAGGCAAGCTATGGTCAAAGGTCTTCTGAGACCTCTGCTCATCAATGGGTGTGAAGATAACAGCTTCACCCACCCAACATCATACTGACAATGCCTTCGCTGAACAGGCCATCCAGACTGTTCAGAAGATCATGCATAGCCTACTGTATGACTCCGGAATGGATGTGTGCTGGTGGCCCCATGCAATTGCACAGGTGGTGTTCATTCACAACAGACTCATGGGCAGTACTCATGGTAATGTGACTCCATATGAGCTCTTCTATACAGAATGCCCGGAATTACGTCACATATGGTGTTTCGGTTGCATGGCATATGTCATACTCAGAGGGAGCACTCACTTGACATGGCTCTGAGATCATGCAGTTGTGAGTAAGCATCTCTGCCCATGTGCTCTCCAGGGGAGGTATTTGGGTTTCTCTGATGCACCTCACACAATCAAAGGCCATAAGGTTTGGCTACCCAAGCTTGACCATGTCG